GCAAAAATAAACTGTTTAAGTAGCTAAAAGTTCAGTGATTGTGTTGAAACGGATACTAACGTGTAAATACTACCGAATAGTGTAACAGTGATAAACTTTTATTGTGAAATATAAGCACTATTTGCAAACAAAGATAAGAAATATTCCGTTCCAGTGTTGTGACATTGGACTGGCTTTTAAAACGAATTATTAACTACCTACTATTTTAAAAACTACAATGCAAAATTTACAATAGCATCATCATTTTGCACTGGCTTATAAGGTGTATATGACGCAGTGGATAAAATTTATGCCCTAGGAAGTAATTGGTCGTCGGTTTGAATCCCAGCTGCATTGCGATAAATTTTTGGATTCTTATTATTTTTGTCTTTAAAGTTCATTTATATTTGCGAAGAAATTCAAAATGAGTAACCACAACTGTCACGATTGCAAGGCATCGTTGAAACATAGTGAAAAAATTGTTTGCTCAAATCCATCTTGTGGCAAGCAGTACCACTATTTGTGCGTAAATATCTCGGCTGAAAATCACAAAAAACAGCGGAATTGGAAATGTCCATCCTGTACTAAAACACAACTCAGAGATAACAACAACGGAACCCCTACGCAGTCACTTGGTCCAACTAACACCGTTGCGGATTGCGATAATACTACCACCAGGCGCCATATATCCCAAAATACGGACCTTGCAAAGTATGTTTTACGTTCAGAAATCGCTAATATTATTAGGTTCGAGATACGCAATGCCCTCAATGAGGAATTTACAACAATGCGACAGGAAATCAGACACTTTGAAGAATCACTGAAATTCTTAAGCTCTCAACATGGTGAAGTTACTGTCACTTTGAAAACATATGCCGAGGAAGCTAAACTTCTGCGTAACGAAAACAACTCCCTTCAAATAAAAATAAAGGATATGGAGTCGAGGCTCATTCAAATGGAACAGGATGCGCGGCAAAACAACCTCGAAGTAAATGGTTTACCCGAACACAAAACAGAAAATCTAACAAAAATGATACTACAAATGAGCAAAGTCGTTTCCTATCCTGTATCTGAAAGCGAAATAATTGCGTGCACTCGTGTTCAAAAGAAAAATCACATCCAAACAGCCTAAAGCAGTGATTTGTAAACTATCTAGTAAGTTGAAGCGCGACAATCTATTGGGAGGAATTTTGTTGTATAATCGTAAAAACCCTAAGAACAAATTAAATACTAAGCTACTTGGCTATGGAGACAAAGAATCTCCTGTCTACGTGAGTGAGCACCTTACCCCTGCGAATAAGTCACTGCATGCTGCCACCAGGATCGCGGTCAAAGAGAAGAACTACAAATTTATCTGGGTTCGAAACGGCAAGATTTTTATAAGAAAAGAAGAAAATGCGCCCTGCTCAAATTGTAACAAGTATGGACACTCTAAAGGGGCTCAAATAGCCTTAGGAATTTGTAGAGATATTTTTATTACCATTTTTAATCCATTTTTTAGTGATGAATGACAAGGTTTATGCATTTTTTGCTTTTTAAATTCAATAGTCTAAATATATACTATCAGAATACGAGAAGTATCCGAGGCAAGTTGAAAACTGTATTTAAAAACGCTCATTTTTATCATGTTATTGTTCTAACAGAGACTTGGCTTAATGATAAAATACTAGATGGGGAGATTTTTGACGACCGATACCAGATTTTTAGACGAGATAGGCAGACAGCAACTTTTTCTGCAGGTAAAGAGGGAGGGGGTGTGCTCATCGCAATATTGAAGTCTTTTAGAGCCTACCGAAACTACTCGTTTGAGTCCAACTGTGAGGATTTATGGGTAACAATAAACCTAACTTCGCAGGCAAATAAAGCGAAAAAAATACATTTATGCTCCACGTACATTGCTCCCCCCGTTAAAACTAATGTTCTCATGCACTATACTGATAAGGCAAGTAACGTAATTAGTAATTCTGACAATGTAATTATCTTAGGCGATTTTAATCTCAGTTTTATTACTTTGATAAAGCAGCCATCTTTATCGTATGTTGAAGCAGACATGCAGTCGAGTACTTTGGGTAGATTAGTATGGAATTTCTTATACAGCAATAATTTAAAACAGTACAATTATATTAAAAATATTCATGATAAAATTTTAGATTATGTAATTTCTAATACACCAAACTCTATAAAAGTATCGGCTGCTAATGATATAATCTCTAACGTCGATAGTTTCCATCCGCCTTTAGAAATTAACAACTTAGACTTCCGGCTATGCTTCGTAATTTTTATAATCCTAAATACCAATATTATAAAAGCTAATTACGATCAAATCGTAATTACGTCCAAAAAAATCTAACACAGGACCCTAAATTCTTCTGGAAATATATTAAGGATAAATGTAATAATCGGTCTATGATCCCCAGGCAAATGAGCGTCAGTAATCAAACTGCAAACGATGGAAAAAGTATTGCTAACTTATTTGCAAAACACTTCGCATCAGTATACAACCCAAAATCGAGTAGCAGTCAGTTTTCACCTCCATACGAGTATATCTCCTGTAACAACAACTTACATCAGTTGTATATTTCTGAAAGTAGTATCGAAAAAAAACTGAAAAAGCTGGATACATCTAAAGGATCGGGATGTGATGGGATACCACCTCTGTTCTATAAGGAATGTGCAGATCAGTTGGCAAAGCCTCTTCATATTCTTTATTATTATAAATCCCTATTATAGATTCCCTTATTATAGATCCCTGTCTGAAGGAACGTTCCCGGAACATTGGAAGGAGGCCATAGTTGTACCTATACCCAAATCTGGCAACAAAACCGATGTTAGTAATTACAGGCCAATAAGGAAACTACCTATAGTAGCTAAGGTATTTGAATCTTTAGTGTGTCCTTTTATAAGTTGGCATATCAAGAATATAGTTTCTGAAAATCAGCATGGTTTCATCAAAAATAAATCCACTTTGACTAACTTGGTTGACTTTGTTGAAAATACTTTGACTGATATTAGTAAGGGCCATGAGGTTGATGCAATTTATAGTGACTTCTGCAAGGCTTTTGATAAAGTAGATCACAACATATTACTTCATAAGCACTCTATTATATTTAATATTCATGGATCTCTCTGGAGTTGGCTAAAAACATACTTGGTAAATCGCAGAGCTAAAGTTATTGTGAATGGGTACTCATCTAACATTTTTATGCCTTCGTCTGGCGTTCCCCAAGGGTCCCATCTCGGCCCAGTACTGTTTACAATATTTATAGACGATGTAAAATATTGTTTTGTCAATTCATGCTTCCAAATGTACGCCGATGACCTAAAACTGTTTAGAATAGTTAAATCTAAATCTGACCAGGCTCTTCTGCAAGAGGATATTGACAGACTTTGCCACTGGTGTGATAATAATGCCATGGAATAGAATATCAGTAAATGCAATCACATAAAGTTTTCACGAAAACGCCAAAAGTTCGATACCGCTTATAACATGAATGGCAAGAATTTGAGAATCGTCAATGAGATCAAGGATTTGGGTATCACGATTGACTCTGAAATGAGGTTTTTTAAACATGTAGACAACACAAACAACAAATGTAATAAAATGGTAGCATTCATAAATCGTAATACTCGACAATTGAAAGTATAAAAGCTCTAAAAACCTTATATTACGCTCTAGTACGCAGTAATGTAGAGTATTGCTCTATTGTGTGGTATCCTATATATCAAAACAATATCCAACGCATTGAAAGTATATAAAAAAAGTTTGTGAGGAGGCTGTCTGTTGCATCTGGTATTCGGCATGCTGTCAAGGAATATAATCAGAGGCTTAATTATTTCAATATGAAACCATTGTATTGGAGGAGAGACTACCTGGGTTTACTGTTTCTACGTAAGTTATATAATCATGGGGTAGATTGTACGCCATTAATATCCAAAATAAATATTAACATACCCAGACCCTCTGCTAGATTAGTAAACTATAAGCCGTTTGTAATTAAAACTAGTCGTAACAATTATGGGAGCAACACACCTCTGTCCTATATCCTCGGAAAATATAACGCTGTTTGTAATAAAATAGACATAGACATTTTCTCCGAGAAAACAGTTACAATTAAAAAAACAATATATAGTATAGTATTATAGTAAGTTAGTTGATTGTGATATGCTTTTGCTTTAGTTTTTTATCTAACCATAATTTTCTTGTTAACGTAGATCAAATTTTGAAACCTACATGTATGTACACTTATGGAAAATGCTGTGCTCACCTTTAATTTAAAAGCATACACATATATTTTACTTGTATGAATGTTTTCTTGTGAAATATGTAGTATGTATTTTAGTTGGTAAGCCTTATGTTAAATAAATAAATAAATACCAAATTTCATCTGAATCGTTCCACGTGGCAAAAAATGTATCTCCATCACCAGTACTCTCACCACCGGCAACGCGCTTGTGACTCCTGTGTAGTTACTTTCCAGCAGGTGACCCCTCTGATCGATTGCCCCCGTACCATAAAACAGGTCCCATAGAAAAACGGTGTTAAGCAATCCTTTTGTTACTTTTCACTGAGTGAGGTGAGGTTGAGGTTCATCATCATTAACATCATCAACACCCCAAATTTGCCCACTGCTGGAAACAGGCCTTTCCCTAGAAAGGAGGCTTTAGCCAACTATACCACGATGGCCTGAAATGATGAAATAAAATGAATTAATATATATTTCTGTAAGTAAATCTTTTCAGACATTTTTACAAGTCGGAGACCAGACTGTTGGTATAGGATTTGTGTCAAGTTTTTCTTCTCTTTGCAGTGATGTTGTCCTGCATAGTTTACCCCCTAGTCGGCTCTTACGACATCTACGAGATAAATAGGGGTGGTGACTTAATCCGTCACCTTTCGGATAGGTTGAGGTTACCGGAGCTCAACTCGCTCCCCATGATTTGGGGTCAGGAACTCAAAGCGTTTTGAGTCTTGAGTGGCAGGTATCAGACCAAATAAAATTCTGAACATTCTCTCATGTGATTTAGTTAACGATTTTTATTAAAGATTCCTTTAAATACTTCTGCCGTTTTCTGTTCGCCATTTGCAATATTCTTTTTACGTAAGGGTTGTTCCTTAAAGCAGATCTGACGTCCATTTCGTTGAGAATTGTTAGAACTGTCGATGGTCTATTCGTAGTTGTGGTGGTATTAATAGTCGGCTTAGCAGTTAGTGTGGTAGCAGTCGTTTCAAAAGTGAAAGGTGTATAATTGGGCAGTTTTTTTGCATGTTCGATTTTTTTCTCATATTCAGCCATGAGCTCGTCGAAGTCAACATCTGGTTTTGGCATTTTTGGGGTTGGTTTTTTAGTAGTTGTCGTTGTGGTTAGTGTTTGTGTTAACTTTTTCACTGTCGTTGTTTGTTTTTTAGTCGTCTCTTTTTTGTCGTCTTTCTTTTTACCGTTTTTATCCTTACTATCTTTTTTAGGAGTTTTAGTTTTATTCTTTCCATCACTCTTTGAATCCTTGCCTGTCTTTTTGGTTGTTTTTTTTGTTGATTTTTTAGTCTTTTCTTTTTTATCGTCTTTCTTTTTGTCCTGTTTATTACCACTATCTTTTTCTTTGGTAGCCTTACTTTTCTTCTTTTTGGTAGTTTTAGTATCTTTACTTGCTTTCTCTTTGGTCTTTTTAGTATCTTTACTTTCTTTCTTTTTGGTAGTTTTAGTATCTTTACTTTCTTTCTTTTTGGTAGTTTTATTAACTTTACTTTCTTTCTTTTTGGTAGTTTTAGTATCTTTACTTTCTTTCTTTTTAGTAGTTTTAGCAACTTTACTTACTTTCTTTTTAGTAGTTTTAGCATCTTTACCATCTTTCTTTTTGGTAGTTTTAGCATCCTCCTTTTTACTACCTTTTGAATTTTTTGCATCCTTTTTTTTGTCAGACTGATCTTTGCCTTTACTTTTACTTCTTATTATATTATTTATTAATTCTGATTGTTTTCTTAATACTTTTAATAATTCAGTTTCTTGATCATGGGTGAGGACGTTTACGAAATTATTCTCTTTATATTTATTATACAAGTATTCCATATCATTTTTGGCCTCTTCATCTATTAAATCTTCATACTCATTGTAATGAACTATGGAATTTATCTCTGGTCCATCATCATTATTATTGATTTCATTAAAATTATTATCATTTTCAATCGATCTTGGGGTTGCCACATAGTTTGGATATTTTAGATTATTAATACCTACATTATTGCTTCTATAAATTGGATAAACAACACTTTTATCTTTTTCTACATTCTCAAAGTTGTTTATGATACCCGGCAAAGAGAAATGAGTTTTTCGTCTGACCATAGTGAAGTCATCTAAACTTTTTTTAATAGCATCTTTGTTCATTCTGCTCTGGATCATAGCGATAATGTTGTTTTTTATTAAGTTATCATCTTTGTCTTCTGGTTTTATTTCGTTTGTTGTTTCTAACCTTTTGGTTTCGGTGGTGCATATGCCAGAACCTGTAAATAAATATACATTTCATTTGCAATAGACTCACTGACGGAATACAATATGGCTTTAGTTGGTTCTAATCCGGCTTTAGTTGGTTCTAATCTGTCGTTAGTTGGGTCTACTCTAATTCACTCCCGGTTCTGGTAAAGTGTTGAACGATGGGGGCAAGAAAAATGGACCCCCATGAGAGAACCTTACCTAAAGTACGGTTTTTCTCGACACTCGAATTCTAATGTCACGTTGTACTATCGATTTTGCAGTTTAAACAGAAAGTCATTATTCAACGCCATCTAACGAAGAATAGCCGATTTGGATAGCCTTCCTCGATAAATGGACTATGCAACGCTACAAAAAATTTCCAATTCAAACTAGTAGTTCCTGCGATTAAAGCGTTCAACCAAAAAACAAACTCACTAACTTTATAATATTGGTATAGATAGTTTTGTACGAAAAAATTAATTATTACAAATCGTTTAGTCAAACCGTCAAACATTATTTTTCGTCTGCCACAAGAGATATAACTTACACAATAAAATATAAAAACAAATATTTGAATGGACCGAGAACATTACTAAGGCGAACACATATTTTTAGCAATATCCATTTAGTTTTATGTCTTTAATCCTATAAAAAATCGAATACAAGCAGTTAAAAAATGTATTTTTTATTTATACATATAAAAGGCTTAATATAGACTGACTAGCATAAATTCGTGTCCTTGTGATGACGGATTAAGAATACGGGGTGTCATCACCCCCCTATTCGTCCCGTGGGTGTCGTAAGAGCCGATTAAGGGAACAAACTGCACAGGACAACAACACTGCAAAGAGAAGGAAAACTTGAAACAAACCCTATACGAACCCGTCTGGCCAGCGTGGTATAGTAGATCAAAACCTCCTTTCTAAGGAGAGGCCTACGTCCAGCAATGGACTGTTAAAGGTTAAAATTCTCAGACTGATTCACTGGCTGGTCGATCAACGCAGAGCTGAAACCACTGGGTCTAGAAGCATGAAATTTTGCACAAATGTGGTGTCTTAGGTCACGTAGGTGTGAAAAGGATTTTTCAAAATTCTACCCCTAAGGGTGCAAAATGGGGGTTGGAAATTTATATAAAACTTCATTATTTTTTGGTACTAGCATATCCTCTACGATGTCTGGTGTAGATCACCACGCTTACAAAGTCGCTGGCTGAAGCTAGTATAAGATATAAGATAAATTATTTTTATACTTTTCTATAAATTATGAATTATTTATTGCTATGTACAAAAACGCGTAATACCTGGAGTCAGTTCAAAGTTGTCCATTGCTCGTCAAAGTCCAAGGTTCGAGTGAAATGTAAATGAAAGTTACCAAACATACATACTCACGGCTGTATTCCCTAAGGGATAGTCAGAAACGTATTTAAAACTTACACTTTGCTAAATATTATTTACCGTTCTTTCGCCTTCCTCCGAGCATTTTCTCAAACTTGGTTGGGTTCAGCTTTAAGTCAAGTACGTAACGTAACAAAAGTAATAAATCAATACAAAATTGATTCTGTAATTTCTTTTATATAGAGTACAAAAAATATACAAATTTTAGGTATTAATACTCGTATTTAATCCCTATGTATAATTAATACATCCGCCATTCTTTTGTCAGAATGGCGGGAGTATCTTCATTTTGTTATATTTTCGTTTTAATAGAGGTTCAATTGTTTCATGTAGTACAATTTATGTACATTTTTTGGGTATTATATGAGATTGGATTTGTCATGGTATACCCGCCATTTTGACACACACTATTGGTCCGCCTGGGTATTAAATTAAATAGTTTCTCTCCCTCAAAGTAATAAAGTTCAACATTTATTTTAAATGAAATGAATTCAAATTTGGCATTCCAGGTCGTAACAACCTAATACCAAGAGTTCAGAGTGGTTTTTTACAACTGACTATCAGATGTAATGCAGGAAGGCATTTTTAGAATTACTTAGTCACATGAATACACGTGTGTACTCAAACTAACATATTATTATTAAGCTATTGCATAGCTTCTATCGAGGGCCTTGAGCGCGGGACCGAATCGAGAAATTCCGTAACGAAAAGAAACCTCACGCTAAAAACAAAACAACAAACAGTACCAAAATCAAATGCTGAACGTCAAAGGAAATTTGGTCAACATATTGCAGAAAAATCTTACATGGATATGTAATTTGATTTAATAATAATATTTTTTATTTATTTATTTAAAAACAAATTGTAATATATGCTTTAATATTTTTATTTACTAAAAGAAAAAAAAATGTTTTCTTATCGGTCACCACGCTCAAAAAGTGTAACTTGAATTAATATCAAAGAAAAAGAAATACTGCATAAATAAAATAAATAAATAATTATAATTGCATAAGTTGATACAAAATGCTATGCTTTACCGCGGCAGTCCCCGAGTGCCACACGTCTTATTTTTTTTTTTTTTTATTTCGTGCGGAAATCCCCTCCGATACCACCTATTGGTGGCATGTCGGACTCGAACCGACTGAAACCGCACGCCGTCTCTGGTACTAATAGCCGGGGAACCAGGTATACCCTAGAAAGGAAAGTGTTATGGTACACCCGCCATTTTGACACACACTATTGGTCCGCCTGGACATTATATTAAATAGTTTCTCTCCGTCAAAGTAATAAAGTTCAACATTTATTTTAAATGAAATGAATTCAACTGAATGGATGCTTGGAAAGCATTCATTCATTTGGCATTCCAGGTCATAACAACCTAATACCAAGAGTTCAGAGTGGTTTTTTACAACTGACTATCAGATGTACTGCAGGAAGGCATTTTTAGAATTACTTAAAGTCACATGAATACACATGTGTACTCAAACGAATGGCGTAGTGGTTTGTGTAACGGACTGCTATTCCAAAGGTCGCGGGTTCGATTCTCGCTCAGGTCAAACATTTGTGTGCGTGAACATTAATTAATGTTTGATTTTTTCTGGGTGTTTCTATGTATAAAAAGTATGTATTTACAAAAAAAAAAGTATATATGTATTTATATCACTTGTCTAGTACCCATAGTACAATCTCTGCTTAGTTTGGGACTAGATGGCGTTGTGTGAATTTGATACAATATTATATTATGATATTATAAACTAACATATTTTTGTATTATTTATGATTAGCTTCCGTTCATGCTTTATTTTACCCTCTTAGGTTTGAAATTTAGAAAAAATGTTTCTTATGGGTATTTACAACATAAAAAGCATTAGCTGTCAAAATTTCAAGTTTGTGGAATCAGTCAGTCAGGGCAAGTAATTTATGTGTATAGATACAGAACAACAGAAATGCCTTTATTTTCATGAAAATACTGCTCATCTGTGACGCAATGGTTTGATGGTTCCATGATTCCAGTGCAACGTCAAACGTCGCAAATACGATTCCAGAAGTGCAAACATTTGCGTGCACTGTGGGTATATCTATAAATGAATAAATTTACATAAAAATATATAGTATTTTATCTATATACTCATAGAATATTAGTAATGTAGTGAAATATTAGTATCTGAGAGCGTAAGGTGACCAAGGTCAAGGTCAGTCGTGATTAAGGTTTTCGATCCTCTTAAAAACACGGAAGATTCAGAGATGCATTTTGCTCAAGGCTCATGAGTTTTTATAATTAATTATTTATGTGTTTAATTAAAGTGAGTTCTTTTCAAGAAACTTTTTGCCACACAACCAATCTGTGTAACAAATTGGCGCCTGCATTATTGCCGAACCGATTCGACATTGGGGTTCCCGCGTCCTTCGTCGTAGCAGTCAGGGTCACTAGCCACCAGACCGACAGGCTCGTCAATCTCTGATATAACAAGCGACAAAAAAAATGTAATAAATCTCTTTTTTGTTAACAGGTAATAAGAGGAGTCCACATAGAAGCCGCTCATATCGTCAAGAGAAGGAGTATAGACCAGCCCCTTAGAATTAGCATAGTTTATGATCATTCAGTATATAGGTAAGTCCTTTTCGATTTCGAAGATTAACGGCTTTTTCCATACCTAAAAGTACGATAGTGTCTTTTGCCACGTACTAAGAGGCGTTTGCTGAAGCATATGTGACTCACTTGCTTGTTACTTTTTTAGTTTAATGAGAAAATAATCATCATTAACGACTGAAATAAAAACAAGAAATAATTATAGTTTAAATAAACTAAAAAAACACGCTTTTGGAAATAGCTGAACTAAAAATTGGAAATAAATCTTTACATAGTATAAAATAAAGTCGCTATTATTACTTGTAAGCTTAGATCTTTTGAACTATCATCATTATCATCAACAGCCTATACTAGTCCACTGCTGGACATAGGCCTCTCCTTAGAAAGGAGGTTTTGGCCTACTATACCACGCTGGCCAGACGGGTTGGTATAGGGTTTGTTTCAAGTTTTCCTTCTCTTTGCAGTGCTTGAACTAAGCAATGTATTTTAATGCGGTTTCTACCAATAAAGAGAGTGATTCAAGAGGAAGGTTTATATGTATAATACCTACATATATACCATAATAATGTACTACGGAATTGTATATCTGAAAAAGATCTACAAGAAAAGTCCTCGGTGATATATGTCTACCTCCTAAAAATAGCTCACAGTAACCGTTTTTATCTTTTTAATGTTACAAAAAATAATGGTTTATTTACGAAGCTATTCTATACAATACATTATTATTCCTTATCCAATTTAATACCATAGATACGTTGTGCATTTAATGTAGATTAAGATTGCTCTGTCCAACATATTATTAAAATAAATATATAAGAAGATATCAGAGTTTTAAAATGCGGGGCAAAACGGCTTTTGCCGCTACGAGCCGTACGTCCGTCGCGGTTGGCAGCGGCCGGCAGGATCGGAGCGGGCCTATAAATATTGCATATAAAGATGTCCTGTAGTAAAGTCCTAACATAATAATAGTATAATTAATTACTCCACACTGACACCACACCACATTAGTAGTATCTTCTTTGCACCCGTGCGATCTGGCATCCTGCATCCAGAGCCGGGGCGGATCACTAGTTTTTCCGTTCCAAAAAAAACCTTTTATTGTAAAAAAAGCGTGGGGTGCTTTTCAATGTATTTTTAAATAAAATAACTTTACTTTACCAATATCTGTTAGTAAAATATTTTTACAACAATGGAGATCTAGCACCCCACGCTTTTTTACGATAACATGATTTTTCTTATTGAACTTTTAGAAAATTATTGTCTACTTTTTAGTTCGGCTACCCACAAAAGCGTGTTTTTTAGTTTCTTTGAACTATAAATGTTTGTATGTATAGTAAATTATATAAAAGCGCCTTACGTATTATTAAGCGCAATCAGTTGTACCACCACAAAACTGTTACCATACCCTTGGTTATGCAATTGGAATAATTTTATGTTATTTGCAAAAGAAATATGTCTGACGCAATCAAATACTCATTATTCAAAGAATAATTAAGTTTAGTTCGTAACAAATACGATACAAGACAAACGAAAATTACTAATTACTATACTAATATTATTACTTGTACCGGGCTACTTGTACCTGGAGACGGAGTGCGGTTTTTGGTCGGTTCGAGTCCGACATAATCACCCGCTGGTGGGTGGTATCCTAGGTGAGTGCCGTACAGGATAAAAAGGAACTACTGGTTCGAATTGAATTTTTTTTTTAGTGTTAGCTCATTTATTGAACAAAGCTATAGGCTATATAACAACACGCTACGCCTAATAGGAGCCTAGGATCAAATAGGGGTAGTAGGGGTAGGCGTTTTGCGATTTGTTTCAGTTGCGCGGGTCAGCTAGGCTAAAATACTTTTTCAGGTACCGTACCTCAAAAGGTACAAAAGGAACCCTTATAAGATCACTTTCTTGTCCGACTGGCCGTGTGACACCACCGATTTTCTCTGAAACGGGTAGACCTAGCAAGTTGAAATTTATACCAGATACCTCAGTCTGTCAACACGATAAAGAGATATAGGAAAATTTAGATTTTCGCGAAAACTTGTAAGTACCAAAAAAAAAAACGTCTTACAGCACAAATAAAGGAATAATTCCAAAAAATAAAAAAAGTTGAAAATTAAGATAAATTTTGGTACTTACAAATTTTCGCGAAAATCGACGTAAAGTCTGGGTAGGTACGGAACCCTCGGCGCACGAGTTCGACTCGTTCCTGGGCGATTTTTTTAGTGTACCTGTAAAATGCGCATAATTTTTTCTATAGGAGTGATTTTGTGAATAGGGACGAAAGTGTGTAACAGATCGCCGGTGATGCGCGCGCTGTTTTTTTGACCAATGAGGGTACGGCGCTAGAGTCGGCCAGTCAGACGGTAGGTGAGATGTCTCGTATTACGCATTATATGCGACTCCTGTAAGGCTCACTTATTTTTTTTTAATGTAAAACTTCTAATGCGGAGGGTCCGAACGGCTGTTAGCGAGGCGCTGTGATGTGATGTGATAGTATATTTTGTATTGCGGGGGATTTATTGGGGATTTTATTCGTACTAAGAACACCCAGACTCAGAACAACAATTTGTGGATCACACTACACTAAGGATCAATCTAAGTGTTGTCCCATGTGGAGATCGAAAGAAAAATCCTTAGCGCAGTAGAAAACGGCGAGGTGACCGCTTAAACCAGTACGCCATCCGTGCAGTCAGTAATGTGGTGTGGCGACGCGTCACTATTCTAAATATTACATTTTTAATGGTGTTGAATTTATTATTTCTTTTCATAAGCTATCCGTTTGTATTCATTATTTATACAAAATAATTTCGATGTTCCACATCTGCCAAACGTCAAGCAAAGTCTCAATTATTTTATTTTTATTATTAATTATATTTTTCTTATTTTTTACAGATTAGAGGAGGAGAAATTCGATATGATCAATGTAAGTTAATTTTGTACTACTACAATACTAGATTAATCAATACTACAATACTACAGTCCGTGTAGTGACAAACATGAAACGGACACAAAGAACACCCATACTCAGAACAACAATTTGTGGATCACAAAAAGTGTTTTTCCAGGGATCGGACCCATAACACTCATCGCAGTAGTAAGTGGCGAGGTGACCGCTTAAACCACTACGCCATCCGTGCACTCAATCATCCATATTAAGAATACAGAGTGTCACCACCTCTATTTATCCCTCCCTTCATTTTTAAGGGCACATCATACATATAAATGTGTGTGTGCAATTTACATCCGGCAGAAGTGTAACTTCCGAAAAATTTCTTTTTTTTTATATCAGAAAAACCCTATAAAATTTTGCCCTAAGGTAGCGTTTTTCAAATTCCACTCAAACGAAGTCTTGGGTACCAGCTAGTATTAAATAAACAGATAAAAATATATACACTGTCAAAATCTTATATTAAAAATAATGTGTCATGTATTCTATCTCATTCTATCGCCGACTTAATCCTATACATTTATGTGTTTGTTTCTTTATCGTGACGCATTACAAAGAAGTTTCACTTCAAAATATATGTCGAGGGAATGATGACGTCATAATTTAAAGTTGAAGTAAAGAGGAATTCATATTTTTAATGTTATATTCTGGTAAAGTCCTAGAAATCTTGATGTTTGTAAATAAAATCTCTTAAAATAAAACAGTTAATTGATTATCTTCGTCGTACAGATTTAAAAACATGGAAATTCTCACTAGCTCGTTTATAATTCGAGCAGCGCCATCTAGTGATGGTTTTAGAACTAACGCAATTATGTCAATAAAATTATGTCATTTATAGCTAGAAAATATTCTTTATTTTACAGAACACGATACTACCAGAAGCTGTTAAATTCTGGGAGCAAGCGTTGAAGGTTCGGAAAACTGGTGGTCCTATCAGGTTGAATAGGTAAGTAATTTTTCTGTGTTAATCAAACTATAATTATTATTAATAATACCTTCACACATCTCAAACGGCGGCCGTCTGATCCAATACTAGACAAAGCCTGTGTTGTGTTAACCAGACTGCTGATAAACATACTAATATATTTCTAAATACATACATATTATGGAAAAATTACACTCACACAGAAAAACTGATCGTGCTCATAACACAATTGTTTCTCCTGAGTAGGAATCGAACCCACGACCTCTGGCTTGGCAGTCAGGGTCACTAACTACCAAGAAGGCCTAAACTTGATATCATATCTTTTCTTTGAAACAATCAATTGAATGAAAGGGTGAAAGGTTGAAAAAGGGAATGAAGGGACGGTCAAGAAATAGATTACGTATCTTTTTCATAAAACCTAAATATTAAGCCTAAATATTACAGTTCCCACCAGCTCACTTATTAGAATGGGAGGAACAGAGGTTGAGGTCCGCCGACACATCAAATACCTTGGTCTCACCCTGGACAGCCGCTGGAGCTTCGAGAAGCATTTCAAGCGGATGATCCCCCGAGTTCGTGAAATGGCGGGCTCTCTACAGAGACTATTGCCTAACCTAGGGGCACCGCAGGCGGAAGTATGCCGCCTTTATTATGCGGTGATACGATGCATAGCCCTCCATGGGGCGCCGATTTTGATTAAGTTCAATCAAGCTCAGCGAGTAGCGGCCATTTGGATCGTACGAGGATAAAGCATCATTCGTCGGAGCCGGTGACAGTCCTGGCACGTTTCACGTCCTTTGATATCCTGACGGATATAGACCTGAGAGTCTATACCCGAAATCGCGCGATCCGCCGGGGAAAACCAGGACTGTCGGTGCTGTTCTGCCTTTTTCTTTTTCCGTGCGGAAATCCCCTCGGATACCACCTGTCGGTGGCATGTCGGACCCGAACCGACTAAAACCGCACGCCGTCTAGGGTACTAATAGCCGGGGAACCAGGTATACCCTAGAAAGGAAGTCCCTGGTGCCCCGACATACCTCGGGTCATCGACAGACTAGTAGACGCCCCCCCCCCCCCGTGTGGGAACCCCATGTTCCCCGTGCTCCCAGGAGGCGAGCGCGCTTCGCAACGCGGCCACCCCGGCCTGCTTCTGCAAGGGTGACAGATGGCCTCACCTGTCACCCAAAGGCCTGGTGCTGTTCTGCCTAACCTCCAAGCTTGGGTAGGTAGAGAGGGAGGTCGCGTCACTTATCGAATGACGCTTCGATAGCGAATTCGATAGTTTTTGACGTGACAACGTCTTATAATTCGATGGAGCCGGCTGCACGCACGAAAAAACATGACTCATGCGGCGTTACCTCGCTCTGAGGCGTTCCATTTAAGCCTTGAAGTGCAAGCGAGAGCGCGGAACGAGCGACAAAGAGGCACAATCGGCCTCCGCGTTCGGCAGCGTTCGACGGTTCGACATCTGTCTCTCTCCTACTTGAGTCAGCGATGCGTCCGCGTGGACAGCTGCTATACAATAATACATTTACATGTTTTCGTCAAGTATGAACTGTAATTAAAATTTTCTTTTGAAAAATGCAACCTTTCCATCAGTTTTTTCTTATGACGTTGTCACGTTCAACTATCGTCAGTAAACAGACTTTACAGACAAACGATTTTTTGATTCGATAGTGAGTACTATAATTAGTATTTAGTATAGTCTTACCTTTCGCTCACAGAAAACGAAGAAAAAACAACAGATAATAAACCCTTTTAAAAAAAAAGTTGAACCGACTTCAAAAAACACCGACAAAGAGCACTAAAAATTAAAAAATAATTACAAATCTAAGTAAAAAACTAAAATAAGTACCCTCAATGTAACAGGTAACATTACAATACCAATAGTCCCTTCTAGTCGGTTTGAAGTCGGTGCCAAGCCAAATAGGTGCTTGATAGAATGTAGCGCGGCAGCTGTAACAGTCTTCATGCTGCGCAAAACATGTTGAACGAGCTAAAGTGGACGCACATCTCCAATTATATTATTATTTTGAATGCTTTAGTAAGGAGTTGATACGTTTGCGCACGTAATTGATCTGGTTGGTCTTTATTAATTAACAAAATCTTCGATGTTTCATTAGAATTATTTTGAATTCTTAATTTTTCATTGTGCTAATATAAAGCTGACATAGACCAGTATTACTTATTGTGCATCGAGCTTGGCACCGACTTCAAACAGACTAGAAGGGACTATTGGTATTGTAATGTTACCTGTTACATTGAGGGTACTCATTTTAGTTTTTTACTTAGATTTGTAATTATTTTTTAATTTTTAGTGCTCTTTGTCGGTGTTTTTTGAAGACGGTTCAACTTTTTTTTTAAAAGGGTTTATTTTACCATTTTTAGTGAAGGATATGTTTGTAATGAGTAGATAAGTACGATATTTAAAACACTACGTACCGTAATGTATAGTAACAAACTGTAGTTTATTAGATTATATTAAATATTATATTAAATTACTGCTGGACATAGGCCTCTCCTACATTGGCGTCCAAACTGATCAAGATCAGCTTAAATTCTTTTCTAAGAAACAGTCAAATTCTTGTGAGTTGCAACCGAACAAAATAACTTCCGATTCAATTGACACTGACCTCGAAGGTGAAGATAGGGAAGCTTTAGTGAGACTACTCAACAAATATGCTCAATATTTTATAGAAGGAGTTCCAACTAGAAGGGTTTATACTGGTATGTTAGAAATTAACCTAGTTGACTCACACAAAATTTAAGAGTTTTTTCCAGAACTATTTTAATAAATTAAGTATAAAATTACTTACAAACGAAATGCGATGCCATCCATAGCAACAAAACGTCTATCCGAATTATTTTAACAAGATAAAATACAAAATTTCAACCTTTTCTTCTTATTAATACAACGAAAATTACTGTGGTGACATAAATACTGTAAGTTCTCTGCGCATCACATCGCGCAGTCTCTGACGGTTGCCATGGTTTTAAAGAAATACTCGTAGCTAAAACACGTTATCGGGGCTGTCAAATTCCCAATAATTGTGAGGGTTTCCCTCGATTTCTCTAGGATCCCATCATCAGATCCTGAATTGGTGGTAATGGGACCAATTCGGGAGCATACCCTTTCGATTACAAAAAGAATTTTGAAAATCGGTCCACAATTGACGGAGAAATCGCGTAACAAACATACATTAAAAAAAAATACAGATGAATTGAGAACCTCCTCTTTTGTGTTTTAGAAGTCGGTTAAAAAGAAAACATACTGTCGAATCAAAAACCCTCCTTTTTTGATGTTGTTTAAAAATCGACTAGCATGAAGCTCCTAGTCGAGACGAATCAAATGAGCACAAACACGGCGGAATTGCTTTATTTTATTACAGAGTTCCCATGGCTATTTACCGTCTCCATCATCAGACCCTGAATATCACATAGGATCGGAGTCCTTATTAATTAGACTCAAACACATTCAAATTCGATGGTATTACATAATTTTGTTACAGAGATCCTATACTCCTAAACCATTCATCATCAGCTTCATCATCAGCTCAGCAACATCAGATGGTGACCATTAGATGCAAAAATCTACATAGATTAAGATAATTTCTGATAAACAGTGTATATGCCTACAAAATTTGAGGGTTTCCCTCGATTTCCCCAGGATCCCATCATCAGATCCTGACCTGGTGACAATGGGACCACCTCTGACGTATGACCTACCAAATAAAAAAAGAATTATTCAAATCGGTTTATAATTGCCGGAGTAATCGCGTAACAAATATACAAAAAAAAAAAAAAAAAATACAGTTGAATTGAGAACCTCCTCCTTTTTTTGAAGTCGGTTAAAAAATAAAATAAAAGAAATAAGATTAGTATGGCAAATATTTATATTAAATAAATAATAGCAATAAGTTAAATAATAAAATCTTATATTAATATAAGGCGATTGAGCGGTATTTTATAAGTACATTTTTTAACTGAAATCTCAGACCGTAAATAGAATCTAGATATTCTAAAATTATACAAATATAAGAAAAGGAATCTTAATTAAAATATCTTAATCTTAATATGTATGTATTTACAAAAAAGTATATATGTATTTATATCAGTTGTCTAGTAGCCATAGTACAAGCTCTGCTTAGTTTGGGACTAGAAGGCGTTGTGTGAATGTGGTAGGATACTAAATAATAAAAATATAAAAAATAGTAGACCACCGACTTCGGGTACAGGGACCAATACAGCGATGGTTCGAGCGACACACACAAGAACCTCCTCACTATACGACCGTATCAAGGAGAACCGCCTTCTGCATCAGACCCTTAATCCAGCTGTCTAATGTGAGTGAGCCTCTTAAGGTGTTTCTTGAGGCTCTTGGCTATCAATCCGTGAGCAGATACGACTATCGGAACAATGATCATCGAATCCACTTTCCACATATCGACAATCTTGTGAGAAATTATAAAAATAATTATAAAAATTAAATATAATTATAAAAATTTACAATATTTTTAATTAATTTCGAAATTTTGAGACGAGGGCTTACAATACTCGTAAGACACACAATTATAATGCCGTGTGGTGACGGATTAAGAATACAGAGTGTCACCACCCCTATTCATCCCGTGGGTGTCGTAAGAGCCGACTAAGGGAGCGAAATACGCAGGACAACAGCACTGCAGAGAAAAGGAAACTTGACACAAACCCTATACCAACTCGTCTGGCCAGCGTGGTATAGTAGGCCAAAACCTCCTTTCTAAGGAGAGGCCTATGTCCAGCAGTGGACTGTTAAAGGCTGTTGATGTGATGATGATGAATAAAAAATAAAAAACATACATTGTGTTGAAACTTTTCAATCTTTGTAACTACATATTATATTATATTCATGTCAACAGCCTTTGATAATCCACTGCTGGACACAGGCCTCTCCTTAGAAATGAGGTTTTGGCCTACTATACCACGCTGGCCAGACGGGTTTGTATAGGGTTTATTTCAAGTTTTCCTTCTCTTTGCTATGCTGTTGTCCTGCAGAGTTTGCTCCCGACACCCACGGGATGAATAGGGTTGGTGAAACTCTGTATTCTTAATCCGTCACCAATCTTAGGCCTTTATCTCCACAGGGGGAGGTGGTAGCGTATTAAACAACTACATTTTACTGACTGTCATTTTAGTCCCACTTAGAGAACGCATGTCAGATAACCACGGGCCTTATGTAAGAGATGGCATTGGCTGTTGATTTCAGCCGGGCACATATATTTCAAAATACATACATATAATACATAAATTACAGCCACAGAACAAACGACCGCCTTACACAATATTAATCCTGGGTGGAAATTAAATCCTACACCAGACCAACAGGCCCGTGGAGTAATCGGTTTAGTTTTTAATTAATATCTAAATTAAAAAATAACATATAAATTACCACCGTTCTCAAACCTATACGTTTAATTTTATACGTACGTTTAAGTTTTTTATTTTTAATCCCCGACGGAAAACGAGGGGTGTTATAAGTTTAACCTGTGTATCTGTGTATCTGTCTGTCTGTCTGTCTGTGGTTTCATAGTTTCCGAACAGATGAACCAATTTCGATAGGGATTTTTTTGTTCGAAAGCCGATGTGATCGAAATGGTTCTTAGATATAAATTTTGAAAACATTAGCTCACTTCCTAGGTGATGAAGGGATCTCACTGAAATCCACAGGTCCGACTGATCTGAAATTTGGTATACTGTTACTTAGATGGTATTTCCATGACATGGTAACCTGAAACTTGCTGCTGCATCAAGTAGTCTGCGGGATAGCCAACTCCTTAGAATAGTGTCAATGAAAAGTTTTTTTTTGTGTCGGGGGTATTTTAATTTTAAAATTATATTCATTAAAATTTATACATATTTATAAAGACTTTTAATTATAACTTATATACATATAAATGTAAATATATATATCGTACATTTATTTGACGTTTGACTTGGCAAATCCATTCAGTATCTGTTTTAAACGTCAAAACGTGAAAATGTGTCAATTTTGTTTGACATAACAAAGAATGACGTCACCCCTTGGTATTGTAAATTCATTTATTGACCCTAACACTTAGTTTTGCTATGTTACTGTTATTATTTATTAACAGTTATTATTAAAAACACAAAAAATATCATGTAAAGACTTCATGAAACTTTAATTTAACCAGCTCAATTTTATCCGAATGTAAAATAATAACACGAGTATATTACATTAAAGTATTAATTTAATAATTTGAAGTTTAACAAAAAAAGCGAAAGACAATTTTCTGAGTATATCCATATATTGACATGAACACAAAACAAGTTTTGAAATTAGTTTTTATATGTTTTAAATACTTCGTACTTATGTTACTTCGTACTTATTTATATACTACCTTAACCTGTTAAATTATTAAAATCGTACTGTCAGTATCAAAATAGAGCTTCAATATTAAAAAACAAGGCAATATTTCATGAAATTGTTAGTGATTTACGTTATTATAAGATTTTGAAATATGACCACACCTTCCGTAATACCCTGTATAGATTGACAGTTGTCATTCTGACAGTTGTCACTCTGACAGTTGTCACTTTGACGTTTCAAACTGTTCTCTGTTTAAAAAACATCGCTCCGTTTTTTAATCCACGACGCTTAGGTCTTAAGCTCACGGCCTAGTACGAACTGTTGGATGGTTTTTCAAAATGTATATTGGATCCGACGACTGGTACCTCGAAGCCAATGCGTTTGTTGCAGTTCGGACAGTAATGAGTCTTCTCCTTTAAACAATCGCTGCAGAAGACGAAGAAGACTAAGGGCATGCTGGAATAAAAAGAAAAAATATATGGAAACATCTACAGAATAATTTCATTTAATCAAAATCCCTTGTTTGCCTTCCGACCGCAGTGAAACCACGTCGTCATAGTAAACCTGTGTTAAACAATTTTTCACTGCTTTTTACTGAAATTAGTTACCATAGAACTCCTTTAGGGGGAGATGAGATGGGCTTAAAAGGCGAAGCGCACTTCTTTGCATCCACTATCAGCTCAGCTCGATTCGTCTGCCCAATTATTCCGTTATTTGTGCTGTATGACGTTTCTTTTTCCCAAATTTCGTGATTCTAGGTCAACGGGAACTACCATATAGGTTTTGGACCCAAAACCTATAGGGTACTTCCGGTTGACTTAGAATTTTCAATTTGAATGAAGACGACTCTATTTGAATGAAGAGATGATGATATAAAAAAACGGCGTTAGGGTTCTATGGACCCCCGGTCAGAATAAAGCTGTGACTATAGCAAGAAAAAAGAAGTCTTGCTACACATTTTTCGGTCTCGCTCCAATCTGCTCAGTGTGCAAGCTGCTCAGTGTAACACGCGATAAGGAACTTCGTTCCAATATGTATAAATCGACATCATCATTAACAGCCTTTAATATTCCACTGCTGAGCATAAGCCTCTCAGTAGAAAGGTTTTGGCCTACTATACCACGTTGGCCAGAAGGGTCGGTATAGGGTTTGTCAAGTTTTCCTTCTTTTTGCTGTGCTGTTGGCCTACGTAGTTTACTCCCTTAGTCTGCTGACTTAGACTTCCATGTAGGTGGGAGTCGTAAGAGCAGACTAAGGGATGGTGACACTCCGTATTCCTAATCCACACGGAAATATATATCTTAATATACTTACAATAAAAAACACAGGAGTATCGCAAAAATATATGTTACAGTGCCATTTTGTTTGATGACCATGGTGTGGACATTACTGTTGCAGTGCTGACATCTCAAGAACTTCCTATTGTTTGGGTTGTAGTGCAATATCTCTGATGGATGTACTGGTTCTGAAAAGTAAATATAAAAACAATTAATATGCAATGTGTAGGAACGGGTGTCATGTCCCACCAAAACAAGGAGAGGATCTGAAGGTCAATTCTCGTAATAAAAATTCGGTTAAAATTTCAGTTCCGGTCTACTCTCGATCTCACAAATGTATTCTTGCAGTAACATAGTATTCGTAAGGTATTGCTAAGACTAGCAGAATACCGATTTAACTTTCGGTTACAATACGATATATCACATCATCTCGAGTACGATCCCTGTACCAAATGTTTCTATGATCTGTAAGTATTTGTTTCGGAGTTTGGGTGTTTTCTATGTATAATATGTATATATTTACAAAAAATAGTATTCTATCAGTTAAACTAGCTTTCATAGTACAAGCTCTGCTTAGTTTGAAACTAGATGGCGTTGTGTGTCAGATGTCTCAAAATATTATTTTTAACGATGTTTAATACTTTACTACGAAAATACCTGTTATGACATTAGTGAAATCGAGAGTATATCGGCACTGAATTTTGAGAGATTTTTTTAACGAAAATTGGCCTTCTGACCAGGTTTGGTAATTGGCATTCTCAGAGGGCGCGGCTCAACGCTTGATATTTGGAAGTTATACGAGTGTATGGTATACTGGGTGTAAGGAACGGTGTAGCGAATACTGAAATAGCGTATTCAGACCCTCATTCTGAATTGAAAATCATTGGGATTTTCTGCCGGAATTCATCTTTTTTTTATAATCTGCCATTTTTTGGTTTAAAATGATATCACAATGAGTAAACGGAACATTTTACCAAATATCGATTAATTTATCGATACTACACGACAGTGACTTCACAAAGAATTTTCCTGCAGAAAATTGGGCGTGAGACCTTTCACTGCGCAATGCAGAATTAATAGTTACTCCGTAGCGTGATTTTGCTAGATGGTATTGAAGTTTTTGTATTTTTTCGTTAGATGTGGAAGTTGATATCTATAGATTTTTATCTTTAATGGTTATATTTATCAGCAGTGCGGTTTCTATTGTATGGGCTCTGCCTAGTACGGGATCAAACGGCCGATGGAAAAATTCGTATTATTAAAAAAAATAGATATTACAACTACTTCCTGCAAAAGAACTGAGATGCGACAAGACGGGCTTTTTTCATGTTATGTTTTCAATAAGGTTTTATTTACGAATCATAAACAATTTATGACATAAATTTACATTCAAATGCTCTGTTTTTGTTTGTTAATCACGAATTAGTATCTCGCTTCAAAATCTCCGTGGAATTAATTGTGAATTAATTGTCAGTTTACTTGATATTCCGTCCGTATCCTGTCATATTTGCATAAATGTTTCAGTTGTACGAAAGACAGGTCAGGCTTTGAATATTAAGTAAGGTAAGTAAAGATAGCCAGGTGGTAGAAATTCGACTATAATCTATACATACTAATATTATAAGTGCGAAAGTGTGTCTGTCTGTTACCTCTTCACGCTTAAACCACTAAACCGATTTCGAAGAAATTTGTTATAGTATTATAAGTCCCGAGAAAGGACATATGTTAGGATTTTTATCCCAGAATTCATCCATTAAGGGTGTGGAAGCTTGTATGGGGAATCACTAACCGCTGAACGGTATTAGATGAAATTGGTATAAAGATAGTTTTATTCTTAAGGAAGGTCATAAGCTTTTACTGCGATCAACAACATGCACGTGGGCGGACTCGCGAGCAAAATCTAGTAATCTATATATACGTCATTCCCAGATAATAAAATGTATCTACAAGATACTTGTTTGTTTGTTTTCTTTATTTCTCGTATCTTCCAAATGGCTGGATGGATTCATTAAGGTATTGTTTTATCAGTGTCAAAAACCCAAATGTCCTTAGATGGCTTTTAGAAAGTAAAAAAAATTAACCAAACCTGTCGAGTAAGGTAACAAAATCAAGAAAATTTAAAGGGGATTACAAAAATATATAAAAGTTATATATTTAAATTAAATAAGGAATAATAAATTAGTTTAAAATGTTTTGATAGCGTAAAAATGTTGGCTATGTTTGTGTCGGACGTCCTGCTGGTTCCGTCTTTTTAGTGCTTTACTTTTAAATTGTCTTTTTGCAGTCGGGTATTTGATTTTTTAATTAATACTTTTATGAAACATGAATAAATTATACCTTGACTAGGAAGTATAACTTGGGTTCTTGGTGGTTCCGGGGCTGGTGTTGGAGACTGAGGGGTTGTTGATGGAGGTTTTGCAACTTCCGTGTACGCTGGAGGTGGTTCCGGAAAATCCGATATCGGTATTGGTGATAGTGGGAACTCATTAGCGCCGTGTCCTCCATAGATTAAAGACTCTTTCTCCATAAAACCTGGTAGCGATCGAGGAGGGGTCGGTCTTGAGCCGGATGGTTGAGCATCTGCAAAATTTAAAAAAAACATTTAATTTGGGATAATAAAGAAAAAATGTATTGTTAGCCTCGGTGGTAGCGTATGCGACTGTTGTGCCGAGGTCTCGGTTTTGATTTCCGGGTCGAACCAAATGTTTGTATGATCTGCAAGTGTTTGTTTCGGAATTTGGGTGTTTTCTATTTACAATCTGTATTTATTTATTAAAAAAGGTACGAGTATATAAGTATTCTATCAGTCAATCTAGCTTTCATAGTACACGCTCTGCTTAGTTTGAAACTAGATGGCGTTGTGTGTCAGATGTCCGAAAATATTATTATACTGCTATTTAGTTTGGGACTAGACAGAGACGATGCCGCACCATTTACCACGATCCTGGTTTACAGCCATCGGCCATCTTTATCATACATCATTCGTTACACCAAGGCCGTTAAGGTTTAATCCCACTCAACTATCAGGGTGCCTCCTATTACATGAGTGGGGAAAGTCAAGTTGCCAAGATTATCACGTAGAAGTTGGTTGCCGACGTTCTAGAAACGTGTCCAACCGTGGGTACAATATTCACAATATAATGTAAAAAAAAGCTAGTATAGCCGGCACTTAACTTGGAGCCGGAGAGAAAGCGTGCTGGAAGAGATCCTGTGCCCTTAATATAAATTGTAGGTGTGTGGTGGTAGTCACAAAATGTTGAATTACCATTAAGTTCTTCAATTCCTTGGAAATGTTCACAAGGATATGCTTACCGTAAGGTCTGCTGCTGCTTGAAGCTTGTGTAGGCTGTCGTGGTGGGCCAGCAGTAGGTGAGGTCCTGTCATTGCTGGCGGAATTTGATGAAGAAGATCCGGCTTCCTCTCTTTTTGACACGTCTATTCTTTTGTTATCAAAAGGGTCATAGAGAAACGTATTCTGGAAAAGATTTTAAGCTGTCACAGTTAGATGAAATGTGATTATTTTGGAGGGGCGTCTGCGATGTGATGATAAAAGTCCATGCCAGGTCAAGGGCAGGTGTTTCATTTATTTTTTTATGAGTTCCGTTATTTGCGTCGCCACGCCACCATGTGATAGTATATGTAACATGCGGCGGCGATGCATACTCATTATTTCCACAAAATAATTGCAAGAGTTAATATTCAGTGAGTAAGCAGACAGTAATCTGTCAATAAGCATTGAATTGATTGTTTCTGGACTGCTGCACATGGGCTTTCCACATGAGCTTCCAAGCATACTGCTGCCTGCATCCACCCAAGATCCATGCAAGGATATCTACCAACCTTAGCGATAGACATCCTAGGCTGTGCTCTTCTGGATTAAAAGAAATGGGTTACCTGTACATATTCTGGCTCTATACTTGGAGTCTGAATGCTGGTACATATATCACTCTCATCAGGACTTGGAAGATCAATGTATACGACTGGATTGTCGTCGTCATCTGGTTTCTTTTGGGTTGTTGGGGGTCGAGACTCACTTGGGGTAGAAACATTATCCTGTAGAATATTAATATTTACAGAATTAATTTATCATTAATTAAAGAAATAATAATAGTATTTCGGACTAGATCGGAAACTAGATGGCGTTGTGTGTCAGATGGACACACAACGCCATCTAGTTTCAAACTAAGCAGAGCTTGTACTATGAATACTAAATTGACTGATAGAATACTTATCTATATACTTTTTAACCGACTTCAAAAAGGAGCAGGTTATCAATTCGGATGTTTATATTTTTTTATTTATATTCGGGCATAATTCCGTCATATATAGACCTCCTTAGAAAGGAGGTTTTGGCCTACTATACCACGCTGGCCAGACGGGTTGGTATAGGGTTTGCGTCAAGTTTTCCTTGTCTTTGCAGTGTTGTTGTCCTGCGTAGTTTGCTCCCTTAGTCGGCTCTTACAACACCCACGGGTGAATAGGGGTAGCGACATTCCGTATTCTTAATCCGTCACCACATGGATGTTACGTAGTTATGTTACCGGAGCCCAAAACCCCCTGTTTTTCCCTAATTCTGGGGGGCAGCGGCGGCAATGCACTTATGCCGCTTGAGTAGCAGTGGTCCATGGGTGGTGGCAGTTAGTTATCAGATGAACCGTCTGTTCGTTTGCCCTGAATTCTATTAAAACGGTTACCGGAGCCCAAATCCCCTCTCCCGCTGACTTGAACGGGAGGGACTCCAAGGGCAGCAACGCACTTGTGACTTTTGAGTGTCCATCGTGCGCGGTAGTAGCGTCCGTCTGCTCGTTTGTCCCCTTATATCATAAAAAAAAGAAAGGAATCTTTTTTAATCGTCGTTTAACATCAGTGCTGGGAGCCCTAAATTTGAGGGATAGAAGTTGTAACTTACTCTAGAAGATCCAGCGCCACTGCCAGTTGGACGTGGGAGCGGTGGCTGTATTGGTTTCCTTGGAAGGTGAGCCCATTGCGAGGCGGTTGCCGAGTCGATGGTGGGCACATCATTCACAATTTTAGTAACGTACGGATAGCCTTGGTATTTGGACATTGTCTGAAAATAAACAAGAAATCAGTAAACAGGAGATTATATCTTCCTCCGAGTATTTTTTTTACAAACTAGGCTGGGTCGGCTTTAAGTCCACTATGATACGGTTGATCTGCGATTTTTCACTTGGAGCGACTGTCATCAGACCTCCACAGCCTAAGTACTAGGCGATATCGAAGTTCTGTTGAAAGACTGTTTTTGGACTTTTTACGGTTAAACTACTCGTAACGATAAATACGATGCTGGGTCAGGCAACGGACCTGTGAAGCACACAACCGGAGGTGGAAAAACTCACCCGGCTGCAGACAGTCCAAACTGGTGCTGAATCAAGTCACACCACGACTCACCTGCAGATTGATCAGTCTTAGCAGACTGGAAATCAGAATGGTTGTCGGAACTATTACAGGACATCTAGCCCTGAACCGACAACTATTCATCATCAATGTGACGGATAGTCCCCTGAGCAGGGGATGTCTGGAAGCTAAAGAAATTGCCGTCCACGTAATCCTGGAATGCGAAGGAGTGGCCACACAACAGGCAAGTATCATTCCCGATATAAAGTCGCTCCTAGAAGCCTGTGAACGCCCCAGGAGGCTTCTGCGCTTCTGGAAGGAGCTTGGCTGGCTCACCTAGTCAACCAATCCTCGACGCATAAAGGACCACTGAGTCTAAATGCGGAAACCGAAGCCCACAACCAATACCAATACCAATACTCGTAACGATTGCCACAGATGTCCGTAAGGCCACTGAGACCGACGGCTTAACGTATTCTCTAAGGCACGGAGGGGTTCATATGTGTTAAGCAAATTTCACCCATCCACAGACTGACCTGGCTAGGATTGCTTAACTTTGCAATGTGTTAACCTACTAAGTTACTACTTAGCCATGAGCTTAAATGAGAAGAATATATACAAATAGTAATACTACCCACGCCTATTTAATCGAAGGGATAGGCAGCCCATGGTACGAGCCTGTTGGTTTGGTGGTTAGTGAATCCAACTGTTCAAACAAGGGTGTGGGTTCGATTCCTACCCAGGACAATAAATTATTATATGTGATGAGCACGATCATTTGTTCTGTGTCTGGGTGTAATTTATCTATATCGTATATCGGTTACCGCGATAAAATGTAACCTATCTTACTCGCAGATAATGTAAGCTATATATTATGTAGCGTCCGTGTGGTGACGTATTAAGAATACAGAGTGTCACCACCACAGTGTGACTAAGGGAGAAAACTACGCAGAACAACAGCACTGCAGAGAGAAGCCGTCTGGCCAGCGTGGTATAGTAGGCCAAAACCTCCTTTCTAAGGAGAGGCCTATGTCCAGCAGTGGACTATTAAAGGCTGTTGATGTGATGAATGTAAGCTACATTGGTGAAAGCTACATTATTAAAATCGGTTTCTTTTTTGTAGAAATCTGTATTCATGGCGTGAGTGCGTGCGTACATCGAACCCAGTACACTATCGGTGTAACACAACTTCTACAAGCATCTAGCTTAGCTGGAGGGGTTAGCTAGAAGACAAGTAGAGCCATGTTATCTATACAAATAAATAAAACTGAAGTGTCCGTTTGTAATGTCCAAATAATAGGGTTTTTTCATGCTCACACGGTTATTTCCACGATACTTATGCCTAAAAACCAGTGAAAATATTTTTTTTCTGTCTGTTTGTCTGCTTGTTAACGGTTAAGGTAACTGTCTATGTAAGAAGTAACTTAGGCTATTTTTTCTCTCAGTCACAAACTGGTTTTTTAGGCATAAGTATCGTGCAGATAACCGTGTGAGCGTGAAAAAACCCTATTACTTTGACATTACAAACAGACAACACTTCAATTTTTTTTGCTGCACAAAGCTAAGATTTCTAAACTATAGATGCTATAAATAATGGTGTAGGAGTCCAGTATATATTCTGATCTGACGCCAGCTTTGGAGCGCTCACCCCTTAGAATTAGGGGGAGGAAGGTGGACTCTGGTAGCCGCACTCGCTTGGTAAAATGCAACGAAAGAATTGCCTAAGACTGAATTTCTGTGATGCCGCAGTATCTCGGCCGAAACATGTCTCCGCTACTAAACTATCCCTGTGGTGACGGATTAAAAATACGGAGTGTCCCCACCCCTATTCATTCCTTGGGTGTCGTAAGAGCCGACTAAGGGAGCAAACTATGAATGACAACTGGAAGAACTAGCCAGCGTGGTATAGTAGACCAAAACCTCCTTTCCAATGATAGGCCTATGTCCAGCAGTGCACTATTAAAGGTTGTGTTGATGATGATGATGAAAATATAAATTTTTCTTATGTAGATTTGTCATCAACAACAAATAATCAGTCAATAAAGAGATTGTCTTTTATTTATAGATAAACTGTATATTTTATCAGTACATTTAGCCATTTCATTCTGGATTAAAGCTACCTTCATCCTTCTTTGTTCTTCTAAAAACGTTTTTACAAAGTTTCATGATCTTTTCAGTAGTTAAGCCGTACAAGCCGTGAGAGAGCTTTGGCAGAAATGTGTAAGTTTGACCGGGATTATTCCACGACCTCACAGAAAACCAGTGTCAAGCAGTCCTTTCATAGCTTTTTAACGTGTGAATTTCGTTACCGGAGCCCAAACCCCACTTCCACTGATTCTATAGAACTCCACAGGCAGCTACGCACTTATGAGTTTTGAGTTGCAGCTATTCGTTGGCGGCGTCAGTCACTGACCCGTCTATTTGTATTAGCAGGCAGTTATCCGTCCTAAAGACCTTGGATTGTAATACTATGAAACAGTCGACCATTGTATTTGAGAGTACGAAGGAGTGACCACACCACGTATCTTCAGGTGCTACGTTGCTTGTTGTATTTATTTAAATAACGTATCGTTAGATTCATCTTGGTAACCCAAGTGTTCTTAGATAGGTGACGCGAAAGAAAAGCCAACATGACGACTGTGAGACGCTATAGTTTAATGAAAGAATTTTTTTTTGGATACTGCAATATGGGTATCAAATTAAAGGGCTCATCATGAGGATTTTAAAATTGTAGATCAGGACCATATTTTAATTAGTTCATTACTTTGTCGCGTCCCGTTATTGTTCAAAAAAATGTCAAAATATGCCGACTATTGTAAACACATAAAAATAAAACGAAGATAAAATACCCTAGCACACAAACAGACCCTCTATAAAATAGCAATAAAAAAGGGCACACTAAGGTTTTCTCACGGTAAAACGGGAAATTTGTATGGTAGCATTTAGTATAAATAAGCAACACGTTATGTATTAAACACACTTCCTCTCTTGGCACCAACCGATAGCACTACGGTTCAAGAGCTGATCTTCAGCTTAGCTGGTCGTTATTACCTTACCCCTAGTACCTTTTTTTTTTTTTTTTTTTTTTTCCCGTGCGGAAATCCCCTCGGATACCACCTGTCGGTGGCATGTCGGACTCGAACCGACTAAAACCGCACGCCTTCGCCGGGTACTAATAGCCGGGGAACCAGGTATACCCTAGAAAGGAAGGCCCTGGTGCCCCGACATACCTCGGGTCATCTACAGACGAGTAGACGACCCCCGCCCCGTGTGGGAACCCCATGTTCCCTGTGCTCCCTGGAAGCGAGCGCGCTTCGCAACGCGCTCGCCGCCACCCCGGCCTGCTTCTGCTAGGGTGACAGATGGCCTCACCTGTCACCCCCAGGCCTGCGCTTATGGAGGACGGAGGTCGTTCTGCGACCTCCGGCGCCTGAGTGACCTGCGCTGCCTGGCCCGTGCCCGGGCCTGGCGGGCCGGGAGAGTTCTAAACCTCTCCCGGTCCCGCTCCGCCGTCTCCTTCGCGAGCATAACTTGCTCGCAGAAGGAGACGGCAGAGTTCCACGCACTCTCGCTCCGCACGATAGCTGCAATCAGGCTATCGAGCGAGAGAACTCCCACTGAGACCTCGTGGCGGCCATCGGAATGGCCGCCACGAGGTCTCGCCTCTGCTCAACCCACGCCGGGCACTCTGCCAGCGTGTGGAGAGCCGTGTCCACGGTCTGGCCATCGCAGTGGTGGCACTCAGGCGTTGGCTCCTTGCGGATCAGACACAGGTGATCTCCGAAACATCCCTTCCCAGTGATCACCTGCGTCAATCGGTATGAGAGGGTCCCGTGACGCCTCTCGAGCCAATCCTCCATAACGGGTCTTACCGCCGCAAAGTACCTATCAGCCAGCTGGCCGAGTCATTGGGGAAAATAGTACACTTAAACGTTAAGGTAAGTAAATTGCCCGAAGTCTTAAACCTGGCGATCGAAGACCTTCAAACTTTTAAATTGTCTTTTTGCAGTCGGGTTTTTTGCACTTGTTTATTATAATCGTATGGTTTATCCTGCTCAGATAAGACGTATTTTGGTATAATACCTAATCTGCATGATTATCTCTGTACTAATAAATAAATGATTTTGTCGAACGTGCACGCATTCAGTTATTATAAATATTAAACTAGATTTAGCCAGTTCATATTCCATCTGGACTTAAACTATGCGTATTTTCTACTGTAGGTTTTAGACCACGGATAAACGTACCGCGGAGACCGCGTCTAGTATAGGACGCTCACAGACCAAGTGGAGTGACGACAAGGAATTGGATGCGATAGATGATAAAACACACAAAGATTTTGTGTTGTTAGTAAATACGTTAAGAAACCCATGTTTTGGGATATATTTGACGGGCCTGTTGGTCTAGTAGTCAGTCACGTGGGTGATCCCCACCCAGGATAATTATTGTCTGATGAGTACTGTCATTTGTTCTGTGTCTGGGTGTAATTTATCTATAATATGTATGTATTTAGAAATATACTTCTATTTTTATCAGTAGTCTGGTTACCATAGTACTGGCTCTGCCTAGTTTGGAATCAGTCTGCCTGAAATTTTAGCAGAGTCCCAAATCCTCCCCCCTCCCTCCTAATTTTGTAGTCACCATAACTTGACCCGTCTGCTCGTTTGCGCTTTCTACTGTAAATGAAATTAAATTGGTAGACAATTTATCACGGTATTAAATGGTATATATCTATCAGATAACAAAACACCTTATTTTAATTTAATCTTTTGTTTTTGGGTCTTCACTCTTTATCATATCACACATCACATCAATAGCTTTTAATAGTCCACTGCTGGATATAAGCCACTTCTTAGAAAGGAGAAACAAACCCTATATCAACCCGTCTGGCCAGCGTGATATAGTAGGCCAAAACCTCCTTTCTAAGGAGATGCCTATGTCCAGCAGTGGACTGTTATAGGCTGATGATGATGATGATATAAATAAAAATATATATTAGAAAAATTCGTGATCATGTATGATCCACCTTGTATACATAATCTTTATATTACGCAATAACAAAAGATAACATTGTTCACTTATATCTATTTACTAGCAATGTTATTTACAATTGGCAAGCTTATCGCAATTTGCGATCACTTATAGCCAATCATTTGACGGATAGAGAACCATAGGTGATAAAATGAGTTGCAGTGTACAACATAAAGAGCCATCTATTGGATTAAATTTACATTAATAAACAAAAAAGCGTATATATCATCATCAACAGCGTCCGTGTGGTGACGGATTAAGAATACGGAATGTCACCACCTCTATTCATCCCGTGGGTGTCACAAGGGAGCAAACTACGTAGGACAACGGCGCTGCAAAGAGAAGGAAAACTTAAAACAAACCCTATTTCAACCGTCTGGCCAGCGTGGTATGGTAGGTTAAAACCTCCTTTCTAAGGAGAGGCCTATGTCCAGCAGTGGACTGTTGTAATCTGGGGTAAAGTGGGGTAAAGTCCTGCTGTCTACACGCAGCCACAAGATGGAAAGGTCCCGTCCTTCAAGATTGCTGAGGCGGCGCGAACTGATATCACCTCTAACGTACACGCACACTCCAGCCCTAGCAACAAAGGAGTGTTCCAGATGATAGCCAGGGTAGGAGAGGTAGGATATGTCCGATGGAGATGATATCTGCGTCTCGGTTAGAAAGAGCAAGACCGGCTTCACTGTCTCGAGGTGGTGGTGGACAGCGTTGAGGTTGGAGTACAGGCCCCTTATGTTGCAGAAATTCACGTCAAGCGTGGCGAGCAGATGTCCTGTCGAACGCTCTTGCGCCCCCCCCCAGAATACGCGGGGCAGCCCAGACATCCACGCCCACACGTATGGTGATCTGAGCGTGGACGTCCAGAGGGGGATTCTCCAACGCTAACGCAGGTGGTACCCCCCTAGGGTAGATTATTTTTTATTTGACATTAAATAAATTCTTGTTATAAACTGACAAATAAAATAAAATACTAGTAATTCCGCAAAACGCTTTATAGTTTTAGGCATACCTTCAGGTATGCCGATAAACTTGCATTCCTTTTTAGGATTCCGTACCTCTAAAGGAAAAACGGTATCCTTATAGCATCACTTTGTTGTCCGTCCGCCCTTCTGCCTGTCTATCAAGACCCTTTATCTCAGGAACGCGTGGAGGTATTGAGTTAAAATTAAAACGATATACTCACTCAGGTCTACAGTCTCTTGAAGCTGTGAAAAAAATAAACTTCCAAGGTAACGTTAAAAAAAGATACGACCGTTTATGAACTAAAATTTGTGTATTTCGACACTCCAGGGAATCAAAATTTAATTTGTATTTTCCTTTGACCTAGAACTATGAAGTTTGGCAAGTAATTATTGGCGTCTTATACTACAAGTATAGGGAAAAATTGTCGAAATTTGTCAAAACCGAAGGGAACAAACCAAAAATTTGACAAAGTAGTTAAAAGAAGTTATAAGGGTTTAAGTTGGCCACGCGTACGAAACGTGGAGGATTGCGCTGCCACGGAGATCTCAGCAACTACTTAAGATAGAGATCTAATTCTTTTTGGTAAATTAAAGACCAAATTTGTCAAAATTTGTCGAAAAAAGAATTATAAGCTACAAATCAATATTATACAAAATATTCACTTTAGAAGTTTTAGCCGCGCATTCGTACACTTGTTGATTTGTTTAGAATTTGAATCGTTGATTATTTCCTTAAAACTTAAGACTTATACAGTAAAACACAAGAAGAAAGGTCTTAATTTGCCAAAACCAATGAAATCAATAAATACTACCAAAGTTTAGTTAAACAGACAAAATCAGCCAAAAACAGTAATTTGAACTGAGTTTACCGTGTCATGTGGGATATCGTATGAAAGGGCTTCATTGGTACAAGTGGTTTCGAATGAATAAAGTACCTACAAATTTGTACGGCACCCGGACCAGTCCCACTCGCACTTGTCCGGTTTTTCTTTTATCAGTTTTCTATTTTTAAATAGTTACAAAACTCCAACTTAATTAAAATATACTTACTACAATTAACAGCAAACGGATGTGATAAAAACAAAATGGTGGGTCTGTTACATATATAAACCTCGCTGACTCTAGAACAACATACAACTTGTAAAGTATTTTCTCTAACAGTACGCAACTGCGGTAAGTGAATTGTATATAATATTATTATTAATTATATATATATTAATTATACATACTACCATCTACCTTCTGGCTCCATCACATGATCATCGTTACTAACCCTAATCTGTTGGAATCATCAAATAGAAATGTTTACTAGTAGCCACTGCCCAAAATCGATCGAAGTGGCGTGCAATGGGAGAGGCCTATGTCCAGCAGTGGACTGCGATAGGCTGATGATGATGATGAGCAACTGACGAGTTTCACTGGCCAACTTCTTTGTCTATATCGGATTTTACCGTTTTAAGATATAGTTTCAATTTTCATTCTTATACGACAGTAATCACACGCCAACTATTTTTTTATCTAGAAAAAAAAGTATACTTTTTAGTAGGATTTTGGTGATATTGTTGGTTATTGGGTGATTTCGAAAAAATGATATTTAAGCAAAATCAAAGTCATCTGACAGCTGAAGACTTGAACTTTAAGATACCCTGTGCACTTTTTCAGGCAGAATTTTTTTTAAAGAGTTAAATTTTTTGTTTTTAGGTTAGAATACTTAAAAAACCTAACGTGATAGAGCAATTCTACTGCTGAATTTGGATTCAGGGCACCAAAATCCTTCGGGGAAGTATACTCTGGTTTCTAGGAAAGAAACTTTGGCCCGTGATTAAATGTGTGATCCAAATACAGTCTTGTCATCACAATTTATATTCGGGCAATTTTTTTGATGTACCACTTTTATGCAGGTCCCGTTAAGTGTGCAGATTGTGTCAATATATAATTCGTGGAATGCAATGTTGACTTAAAAATCTTTTATTTATGTCTCTCTTAAGAAACTTACATGTTTAGGTAAATTCACTGGACTCAAAGTCGATAATGAAATTTCTAAACTTAATGTGTTCTCAAAGCTGTCAGCTTCTGGACTAAAGATGTAAATAGGGAGTTCATATTCACTTTTTATATAGGCATATTGAGTCCAGATATAGTACGAGTATTATGCTATTTAATTCATCATTTGATATGAACCTTGTGATCGACAGAATGAGTTTTTTTCTTTCATTCTCCTTTATTATTTGTTAATTCACTGCTATTTTCACGTCGTATTCTAATCCTGTGGCCGTGGTTAAAATAATACGGTGTGTAATATGTATTTTCACATCTAATGGAGATGCGTATAATATACATGAAAATGTCGAACTGTCGAATGAAAACTTAAAGTTTGTAAATTTAATAGGTCCGATCATCATGAATCTTGGGAGGCTTTTCATCACAATCTTGATGTTAGTGCTAGTTATCTCATCCAGCGCGTATGCCGGTGCAAGGAGAGCAAAGAACAACAAAAAAACTGCCGACATCGACAAGGCCGCGCCCGAGGATGGCGAACGTAACGCCGTCGCGAAGGCCGCGGAAGCGCCCACGAGAGTTAGCCGTGTTTCGAAGAAATTAAATTAAATAAAATTTAATTACTGACCTATATTGGATATAATGATTTTATTATTTATTGGGACCCGATTTTATTTATTATTTAATCTGTCCGCGTGGTGACGGATTAAGAATACGGAGTGTCACCACCTTTTTTTTCTGTGCCGATATCACCTCGGATACCACCGGTGGCTATGTCGGACTCGAACCGCCTAAAAAGTGCACGCCGTCTCGGGTACCAGTAGCCAAGGAACCAGGTGTACCCTTTAATAATTTCTTGTCCATGTATTATAATTTTAGTATATTGTAAGTTTTAATGATTAATTGTAACATATTCAATTACTTTCATGATGTTTGATTCGTTTTTGAATATTGTTAACAGAGTAGAACTCATTGGTAGGCCTAATTTTTAGGGTTGGTGTAGGTTTTGTTTAAAGTTTTTATTCTCTCTGCAGTGCCGTTGTCCTGCGTAGTTTGCTCCCTTAGTTGGCTCTAACGACACCCACGGGATGAATAGAGGTGGTAATACTCCGTATTTTTAATCTGTCACCACGCGGATAATTGACAACTTAATCGACAATTACTTAACATGTACGGCCATGCTTGCATGCAGTCACTGCCGGCGGACAGCGACACATTAGCTAATTGGTTGAGCGTACCGCCGCCCTGCGTCCCGCAAACCATCGGAAGGGCCAAGCTTACGGCGGTTTGACTATATCTGTCTCGTGGCTGTCGTAAGAGCCGACTAAAGGAGCAAACTACTCAGGACAACAGCACTGCAAAGAGAAGGAAAACTTGAAACAAACCCTATACCAACTCGTCTGGCCAGCGTGGTATAGTAGGCCAAAACCTCCTTTCTAAGGAGAGGCCTATGTCCAGCAGTGGACTAGTGGAGGCTGTTGATGATGATGATGATTCAACTTAAAACTGAAAAACTGGACAATTTTATTCCTTTTCAGAGACGGAAATGAAGTCGAACTCGTCACAAAATAAAGTTAATCACTATAAGTATATCTTAATCTTTTATGATGACTTCAGCATCATGATAACCACCCATCTGCACTAATACAAAGGTAGTAGTGTAATAGTGCAGACGGGTCACCTGATGGACCAAGGACACCTGCAGCTCCTCAGTCACAGGTGGGTTACCGTCTTTACAGTTCCCCCCTCCCAGAATCTTTTGAGCGTCAGTAAGTCTTTTCACCGAGTGAGTGAGGTTACCGGAACTCAAACCCCCTACTCTTGATTCTGAGAGACTTAAAAGCACGCACTTGTAATTCTTGAGTTGTAGATGTGCGTGGGTGATCCTCTGATGATAAGTGTCTACACTTATCATCAGGGGATCCGTGAGGTCGAGTCAAAACAATAGGTTATTTTAATGCTCACACGGTTATTTGCACGATACCTATACCTAAAAACCAGTTTTTTTGTCTATCTGTTTGTTCGAGTAATCCTCTAAACGGCTTGACCGATTTTGATAATATTTAACTACCAGGTAGCTGTCTATATAAGGAGTAACTAAGGCTATTATTCCTCTCAGAAAAACCCTAAAAAGTGTTGCCTAGGCCCGAAATCGAACCAGCTAAGGCAGAGCTTTTCAAATTCCACGTGAAGTCGCGGGTACAAGCTATTAGCAATATTTGAGATTGGCACGATATTATTATGAATAATATAATTTTGTATTGTCAACTTTAGTTATCAAGTATGCAATAAATGTATTATCTACGAATTCCACTTTTATCTATAAATAATTTGCTTAAACATACGAAAGAGGACCTTTTCCTTTAAGTTGAATCATCATCATTAACAGCCTCCACTAGTTCACTGCTGGACATCTGATCCCAAACTAGACAGAGCCTGTACTATGGTAACCAGACTGCTGTTAAACTTACTTATATATTTCTAAATACATACATATGATGGATAAAGGTGTACAATAAAGGCTATTCTATTCATCATCATCATCAACAGCCTTTAATAGTCCACTGCTGGACATTAGCCTCTCCTTAGAAAGGAGGTTTTGGCCTACTATACCACGCTGGCCAGACGAGTTGGTATAGGGTTTGTTTCAAGTTTTCCTTCCAATTTGCAGTGCTGTTGTCCTGCGTAGTTAACTCACTTAGTCGCCTCTTACGACACCCACGGGATGAATAGGGGTGGTGACACTCTGTATTCTTAATCCACGGAAAATACTTACAACTAACTTAAGTAGCAGATGAATTGGAAGAACTTGTTTCAGTTAATGTTCTTAGATAAGTTAATCTAAAAAAAACAAGTCAGGGCCGTCTGAATCTAAATTAGGCAAACCTGTACTATGGTAACCAGAGTGCTGATAAACATACTTAAATATTTATAAATACATACGTATTTTAGATAAAATACACCCAAACACAGAACAAATTATTTCGCTCATCACACAATTATTTATCCTGGGAGGGATTCGACCCCACGACCTGTGGCGTAGCAGACGGGGTCACACGTCTCTCGATCAACAAGCCAGTCGACAGTACGTAGATAAATAAAATTCGTTCGTATCGTAATAAATCGTTTGTTTTATTTTTGGTATTTTCTATAACTCTATCCACATATTACTCATAGTTTTACCCTTCAGGGTAGGCAGAGACAACAGCTCCCCCCACTGCATTGTATCCTGAAATAAGTCATGACCTCCCTTTGCTGGCATTAAACTTTCATTTCTGACTCACCCATAGACATCACGAATCTCGTCAGAGTAAAACATTATCAATAAAAATTAAAATCATAGATTTCTCCTATATAATATTTGGATTTGATTGGACATCTGTGACGTGTAAATATAAAAAAACGCTCACTCATATTCCTTATTCAAAATGAGAACGTTCGAGCAAATGTCAAAGTCTGTATACGCGAAAAAAATCCTTACAAAAAGGTTCTATACCATTTTAACATCTGAATTTTCACTGTATGTGTTTTAACTATAAATACTAAAGATTTACGTACCTTATTTGTATATACTGCTTTAAAATACCACAAAAACACTCACACAGCAGTTAAATTTACTATATTTACGTTTTTACTTCATTATTTTTCCTTATCCACATACTTATTTATGAAACTATACGTATGTACTACGAAATGACTTTTATCTGCGAGATAAGATTACAAACAATTGATATGATATACTAAATTCAGTTCTAACACGATTATCGACAGCTGTGTTCCAATATTTACTGCTGACAACATTTTTTTTTTATTAACCATGGAGATTTTACTGTCAGATTAATTTGACATTTCGACGCAACGGATATTAAAAGCAGCAACTTTTGAGGATAGCAAAAAAACTGTTACTAATTCATTTTTAATTTATTTAAAGATAGATTAATTTAATATATTGATAAAGCCGAAATGTCGTATTTAGAAATATCTAATATTACATCACAGAAACCAAATAAAAAAAAAACTCGTCAAGATTTTCGTACCAAAATTATTGGTCTCTTTCTATTTTTGATATTCTTCAATTCCTTACTGCAAATATAAATATTTTCATAATTAATGCCTTTTGAGCTTAAAATTTCAAAAAAAATATGTCATGCAAATGTAATGACTACTTACATGTAGAGAAAATACTCAATGTGGGAAAGCCATAGGATACAAAGGCGTCACAAAATATATATGATGTCAAACTAGGCAGAGCCTGTACAATGGTAACCAGACTGCTGATATACATACTTATATATATCTAAATAGATACATATTATAGATAAATTACACCCAGACACAGAACAAATGACCGTGCTCATCACACAATATTTCTCCTGGGGTCATCGAACCCACAACCTCCGGTTTAGCAGTCAGGGTCACTAACCACTAGACCAACAAAAGACAAGGGCTAAGCATTTTTTTCGTTGACTTGCACCTAAATGGTGGTGACTGATCCCTCACCACGACTTATTTGCAGACTGATCAGTTTTAACTGACTAGACATCCAAATATTTGTAGGAAACCTAGCCTTGAACCGACAACTATTCACCATCGATGCGAGACACAGCCGTCTTTGCAGAGGATCTCTCAAAGCAGAACGAAACGGCTGCCCACGTAATCCTGGAATGCCAGGAAGTGGCCACTCCATGGACTAGTATCATGCCTGTTACAAAATCGACTTCACGAAAGGCGTAGTGGTTTAAGCAGTCCCTAAGCCCACCACTTCGCTGCGCTGAGTGTTGTGGGGTCGATCCCCACATGGGACTACACTTTGTGGAATCCACAAATGCGAGAGTAGTCTTTAAAAAAAATACTAGCTCCTAGAAGCCCGTGAACGCCCCAGGAAGTTTCTATGCTTCTGGAAGAAGTTGGGTTCAATCACTTAGCCAACTTTACCTCAACACATAAGGGCGGCAACGCTCTTGCGTCTCTTGAGTTGCGGGTGTCCATGGGCGGCGGTAGTCACTTACCATCAGATGACCCGTCTGCCCTCCTATATAGTAAAAGAAAACTACTTTTCGTCGTGACGCGTTTGCTGGTTTGATCATCTAATATGGCATTCCAAGTCACAACAGAATTATATCAAGTCTCTTGCTCCAGCTATTACGTTTGCTGTTTCATAATATAATATTAAAATCTAAATCTGGCCAGCATGGTATAGTAGGCCAAAACCTCCTGTCTAAGGAGAGGCCTATGTCCAGCAGTGGACTACTACAGCCTGTTGACAATGATGATGATTAAAATCTAAACATCTTGTTTCAGAAAATGCCCTACACGACAGGTGTTCGTCAGGGGCGGGCGATCACACTGCATAGACAAGTGCAATCAAGAGACAATGTGTGGAGAAGTAAGGGTCCCCGAAGAACATTTGAACGTAAGTAAATAGTATAGAGTTACCTAGAACTAGATTGATAGCTTCTTAATCAGCTTGTTGCAGTCCTCTGCTGGATATCGTCTAAACTAGTTTAACTGGCCTGTTGGTCTAGTGGTTGGTGGCTTCTGAGCCAGAGGATGTAGGTTACATTTCAACTCAGAATAAATAATTGTGTGATGAGCACGATCATTTATCTGTAATATGTATGTATTTAAAAAATGTTTATCAGCAGTCTAGTTACCGTAGTACAGGCTCTGCCTAGTTTGGAATGAGACGGCCGCGTATGAGAATATTATTATGTGCACCATAGCATCTGGTTATGTGCCTACCTCTTCAAATCCAGTTACCTTCCACAGATCATTAGCTTATTGATGAATAGTAGAGTTTTACCCGCGGCCTTGCTTGTCTCGAAGTCGTCTTTGTCAAACTTTTTGCCTCACACATCCAATCTGTGAAAAAAATTGTTGCCTGCGGAATTTCTGGACCGACAAGACTTCCAAACTTTGAAAAAAAAAGAGTATACTCCCTCTTCCAAGGCCCGCAACGCGCTTGTAACTCCTGAGTTGCTGAAGTTTATGGGCGGCAGTAGTCCCTTCTATCAGATCACACATCTGCTCATTTACCCCTAAAAAAAACAATTTTCCTTAATAAAATGTAACTTTTGAGCTATGCCAGAATATAATAGGTTTTTAGGTTTAAAGATATTTATTCTCATATAAGATTTACTTCACTTCCATGAGAATATGGCCATTCAAAATATTAATAGAGTTCATCGCCACAAGGATAAAAACATAACAAATGGTTATCAAATTCACAAATACAACAACATAACAAACAGTTAACGGTTATACTCATCATCATCACCAGCCTATGATTGTCCACTACTGGACATAGGCCTCTCCTCTGAAAGGAGGTTCTGGCCTACTACACCACGCTGGCCAGACGGGTTGGTATAGGGTTTGTTTCAAGTTTTCCTTCTCTCTGCTGTGCTGTTGTCCTGCGTAGGTTTCTCCCTTAGTCGACTTTTACGACACCCACGGGATGAATAGGGGTGGTGACATTACGTATTCTTAATCCGTCACCACACGGATATACTCGTACATACGTTATTAAGTACAGGTGCCCATCCATCACATCCACAATCACAACAATAGTTTCACTTTCCGCCATCGTTCCACACGGCATTATTTTCATCCTCATCACATGGATACTTGGCGCTCCACTACTGTGCGCTTTTCGAGACACTTTTTGCCCCGCACAACCAATCTGTGAAATGGGTTATCGTCTACAGACCAGGTCTAGGCCGATACGACCTTCAAACCTTCAAGAAAAGAGCGTACTCCTTCCTAAAAGGCCGGCAACGCGTTTGTGACTCCTGAGTTGCAGACTTTCATGGACGGCGATGGTCACTTTCCATCAGGTGACATAAAAAAAAAACTTATTACTGTTAATGCTAACCATGCTAACACAATATAATATAATAATAAAGATTAGTTTCCAATTATAACTTGAGCAAGCTTCATTTTAAAAGTGTTGAAGGAGTCGACATTTGTGGGTATTTTGTTGTAAAAGCGCGCTCCTTCATACGTAATCATCGTTTTATCGTAGTTCGTACGAAAAGAGTGAGATAGATAGCGCGGCGCGTGCGAATCCCGGGGTTAGCAACCTTTAGAATTTTTTTGCTAATTGCTTTGCGTATAAAAATGCAACTGTTTTAGGTGTAGAGTTGTTTGATCATCATTAACTTTCATTGTACATTTTTATAATTTTTGTGCGATAATGATAATTAAATAAAGTTTTAAGGACTATGTTTTGTAGGTGTGTGCGTAGTCAGTAGCTTGTTTTTTTGCTTTAAAAACTATATAACAAGTCTTAGCAATATTTATAGTTAGAAGGTTATATTGTAGACAATCATAGATAATGTCTAGATCTTGTTGAGGACGCGAAACTATACCATTCGTTGAATAACCCAAGTAAAACAAACATGTATCCAGCATATAAAGTTATGTGTCCGTTTAAACCTACTTTGTGCATGTTGTTTATATAGACCAAGAAGAGCAAGGGGCCTAAGATTGATCCTTGGGGAATGCCACAAGTTATTGGAAGTGGGTCACTTTGGGTATTATTGTTTATTTTAACTTGAGATCTGTTTTTTAGGTGGGACTCGAACATGTGTTATGCTTTGCTAGCAATACCTATGACCTCTAATTTCTTTAAAAGCAGTTTATAGCTCATGGTATCGAAAGCTTTTTTTAGATCGTCATCGATCTAAAAAAAGCTTTCGATACCATGATGTAGGTATATTCATATATACCTACAACTATGTTTCTTTGTTATTAGACCTACAGTAGCAGTAAGTGTGTTACTTTTCGGTCTAACCCCATATTGTCGTTCAAATATGACATTAATAGATGTTGTCCTTGAAATTAAGTTAAGTAGTAATACTTTTTGAAGGATTTTCGACATTACGGGTAGCACAGAAATAGGTCGGTTACCGTTACCGCTACCGGGATCTGTTTTCGAGCCTCATTTATAAACGCAATCTTTAGTGAGTCCGGGAAAACACTGTTAAGAATAGAGTGTTAAAACATTTTGTTAGGCTATAATCCATAATCAAAGTCTTTAGACATTTTATCACTATTGTGTTTATACCATCTAACCCAACGCAGTGTTGTTTGATGTCTAAACTATCAATAACATTTGAGATTTCTTGTTCGGTACATGATTCTGAACTATGCATTTGAGACTTTACTGTGATAGCGTTCGGCAGAGCACGATTAAAATTGTCATGGAACTCTTTCGGTATTTCATTTGCTAAGCTGGAACCTATTGTTGAGAAACAGATATTAAATATTTGGCAGATCTCTTGAGGATTCTTAATTTCCTTCGAATTGTATAAAAGTTTTTCATCCCGTGGGTGTCGTAAGAGCCGACTAAGGGAGCAAACTACGCACGACAACACGACAACAAAGAGGAGAAATTGGAACAAACCCTTATCAACCCGTCTAGCCAGCGTGGTATAGTAGGCCTAAATCTCCTTTCTAAGGAGAGGCCAATGTCCAGCAGTGGATTAGTGAAGACTGTTGATGTGATGATGTATAAGAGTTTTAAAGGGCCGCACTTTTGTTTGATTTTATTATTTGTTAATGTATTTTTTAGGTTCCACATTTTGTTTGGTTTATTTCTGCAGTTGACCAACTCCTTGTTGTAGAATGATTCTTTTGTGACTCGTAATAGTTCAGTTACTTGGGTTCTTTTAATGTTAACCATCCATCTTCACAAACCTTCGCGTTTTTACCATTTATGGGACAAACTTTTATAGAAATAGCTTGAGAGGTTGGTGTTGGAGGGTTGAAATAACCTTACAAATACCTACCAAATGTAAAAAAAATAACTTACAATCCTTTGACACGATATACAACTCGCTTCAAAGATTGTTTTTATCTGTTTTACGGCTTAACGTGCTTTCCGAGTCACGCTATGCCGCTAAGCCACATGTATAGACTGACATGGCTCTACTTTGCAATGTGTTAAAATATTCTGTTACCACGTAGTCACGAGCCCCTCTCTTGCTGCAGGGAACTGCTGTAATAAATAAAAGTCTAGTCTAAAATATTGTTTAATTGCTTTTCTTCTTTGTGCTTCCGTGGTTCTCATTCGATTCTCTACTGCTTATAACTCTTGTGAGAATCATGTTCCCGCTTGTGGCCAATAATTTATATTCATGCCGTTGGTGGTGATTTGTTTTTTTCTCTTTTCCCGAATCTAGTTTCTGGTTTGCTTCTGGTTTTAAATTCTGGTTTGCTTCTGGTTTTAAATTCTGGTTTGCTTCTGGTTTTAAATTCAATTCGATGACACGGTTTATCGTTTTATTTAATTGACCGTCAACATTATTGTCTTCTATGGAATTGGTTCGGGCAACTGGCTGGCTTTTCATTTTGTTATGGATCTTTTTTTTCTTCACTGACATTATGTCGTCTTGTCCGCGGGAAACTACATCTCCTTGGATAAAATAAAACTTTTTCTTATGATCTTTAACGTCATCTTTTCTCGGTCTCTGCTCTTCTGTTCTCAATTCATTAGACATTGGTTGTTTAATATTGTACTTTTTGTTTTCTTCTGACACATCTCTTTGTGTTTCTGCTGACTGCGGTATCATGACATTTTGAGCAGCTTGCGCTATGAATGTAGCTATTTTATCTGCGAGAGATTCTGACACGAATTTCGTTGCTAGCTTTTTGACGTCATCTATGTTTGCTGTTAGGAGTACGAAGGATTCACTCGTGTGAAGGAATATGAAGAGTTGAAGACCTGCAACAATAATATCATTGGTGTTTCTAGATATGTCAAAAGTCTCAAAAGCTCAAAGAACTCCTTCCCCTACACAATTGGGTAAAGGAGGGGAGAGGGGGAAGGGCTTGGCTCTGGTAACCTTATTGCTTAACACCAGTCTTGTGTAAGTCCATGCTGTCACTCCGTTTAAGTCAGCTTATTTGTGCCGAAGCAAGGCTTTCCCACGTCTAGTGAAAACTGTGCAAGCGAGCAGACGGGTCACCTGATGGAAAGTGACTACTGCCGCCCATGAACGCCAGCAACTCAGGAGTCACAAGCGCGTTGCCGGTCTTTGAGGAAGGAGTACGCTCTTTTCTTGATGGTTTGAAGGTCACATTGGTCAGGAAATACCGCAGAGTTGTTATCAGCAGCTGTAAGGAGAGGACCTACAAAGAGAGGATTTTTGGAATTTTCCACTAAGGAGGTAAAATAGGATGAACGGTTATATGGAAGTTCGTCATTGTTATTAATGTGAAAATGAGTTTATTTATTTGTTACGCTTTCACGCCAAAACCACTAAACTGATCTTAAAAATTCTTTCACCAATGGAATGCTACATTATCAACTAGTAACACAGGCTACTATTTACACCGATAACCGACATATACACGGACGGAGCCGCGGGCAAAAGCTAGTTGGAAATAATTCACATCACATCACACATCAACAGCCTTTAATAGTCCACTGCTGGACATAGGCCTCTCCTTAGAAAGGAGGTTTTGGCCTACTATACCACGCTGGCCAGACGGGTTGGTATAGGGTTTGTGTCAAGTTTTCCTTCTCTCTGCAGCGTTGTTGTTCTGCGTAGTTTGCTCCCTTAGTCGGCTCTTACGACACCCTCGGGATGAATAGGAATTATGCGAAGTAAATTGTCTTACCGAAGAGCGGCCATTTCCGCAGAGCCAACATTTCTAAGCATAATCAATAAAAAAAAACAATTCACAATAAATATTGATATTGTTTTTATAACTTTTATTTTATTGCGTAAAGTGTGAGTGGAGGTAAAGATTTAATGTAGGTTATATTTACAGTTATTCTACTTCAAAACTCACGAAGTAAAGGACAATGGCAGGTCCCCATACATAATTTTATTTGAACTGAAATGGTAGCGTTTAAATATCAAAAATGCCTAAAACACTTGAGAATTTATTCTTGACCATTCTCATAACAAAATTACTGGCGAAAGAAGTCTAGGAAAAAAGATATCGGAATTTGAATGTTTCGAGGTTAAGTACTAACATATTGTCAATGTTTTGTTTGAAACTAGATGGCGTTGTGTCTCATATAACCGAAAATATTATTATCATTATTTTGACTCATAAACAACCCTACTTTGCTGTTAAAAGTGTTGGCCGATTCTCTAAGAGTGGAGGTTATTTTACCAATACATGGTAAAACAAGAGAAAACGTCTTCGCTTACCAAGCAGGTGTAATACTAGATATAAATAAATCAATCAACAATAAATTAATTAATAATAATTCGAATAATTGTACTGCAACACATATTTACACAAGGCAGAAGCAATTTATTTATTTATTTAATTATTAGACAGCCAGTAGTTGTTGCATTGTTTACTAAAATCTAAAGCATGCATCCATTATATTGAGATTAATACACAACATTTAAAAGCGTCACACCATGCATAATAGAGTAACAGTATATGAAATAAAAAATAGAAAAACATAACACCTATCCAAATTTAAAACTAAATTGAACAAAAATAAAACAAAAAAAAAAATCGGTTGTCTGTAAAGTCGGTTTACTGACGATAGTTGAACGTGACAACGTCATAAGAAAATACTGATGGAATGGTTGCATTTTTCAAAAATGTATTATTGTATACGAGTAGCAGCTGTCCACGCGGACGCATCGCTCACTCAAGTAGGAGAGAGACAGATGTCGAACGCTGCCGAACGCGGAGGCCGATTGTGCCTCTTTGTCACTCGTTCCGCGGTCTCGCTTGCACTTCACGCCTTAAATGGAACGCCTCAGAGCGAGGTAACGCCGCATGAGTCATGTTTTTTCGTGCGTGCAGCCGGCTTCTTCGAATTATAAGACGTTGTCACGTCAAAAATAATTGCCGTGTAAGCAATGGTCATGCAAGTCATGCAGGTCATATCAAACGACAAGCCTGGTGAGTGCGGCACTCGACAGGATCTAAACGATGTCGTATCGACTTTTTGAAAATATCGATTTATGTGCTGTTATCAACGATAATGTCTTTTTCTCATCACACTGTGTAGCGTATATTTTTTCTATCTAATAACTATATTCTATTTATTTAGTGCGGTAAAAATCGTTGAAAAGAGTCAAAAATATTCTTTTTTTTTTAATTATGTTGATTTAGTCACTACCGTACGGGTAAAGCTGTGGGCAGAAACAAATTCATAATCATAATAGGTGAACCTTCGGTAGATATTTCATCAAAAGCTATTAAAAACGATTATCGATGAAACGTTCCATAATATAATAATGTTATCACGCATCCGTAGTCAATTATACGTGATGGCGAATTTGCATTACGTACTTAGGTCAAATTAAAACTTCAAAAAATATCCTATCTCTTATAAGACTTGTACAACACATGGTGCTGTACTGATAAATCATAGAAAAAAGATTTATTAAGTTTACTGTGAGTCAATTTTTTAAACGCTTGAGTTTTAGGTAAATATGTTTCTGCCATTGTTCTTTAATAATCATAACTTCTCTCTCTCTAGAGATACTAAATCCCTACGATGATAAGAATAATAAACACACACATCTCTCACACAGGGCCAAACCAAAAAAGGCAGAGTCTGTACTATGGTAACCAGAACACATACTTACATGTTAAAGAAAAATTATACCGACACAGAACAAATGATCGTGCCCATCACACAATTGCACAAATGACGTAGTGGTTTAAGTGGTTGCCTCACCGCTTCGCACTGTTCGAACCCCACATGGGACAACACTTTGTGTGATCCACAAATTGTTGTTCCGAGTCTGGATATTCTTTGTGTCCAGGATATATTCATATACACACATATATACAGGATATATTCCTAGAGCGGGAGTTGTCTTTTAAATAAATAAATAATATTAAACAATTACCAGCAGCCTTCTCTTTGCCATTAACTGCAAGGAGAAGGAAAACTTTACACATACCCTATACCAACCCGTCTGGTCAGCGTGGTAAGTAGGCCAAAACCTCCTTTCTAAGGTTTTAATAGTCCACTGCTGGACATAGAAGGTCTATGTCCAGCAGTGGATTATCAAAGGCTGTTGATGTTGATGATGATGAGTCTATTCAATTAAGCTGAAACAAGATACCCTTCCTATATCGGGGTGATAAATAGAAATAAGAATCTAGCGGATTCCAGGTGACATTACAACAGTAGCAGGATATTGAATTTAACAGTAGAAGTAAACATTAAAAGTTACTCACGTCCTTTTAAGGATTAGACACCTTAAGTTCAAACTGCTGAAATAATTTCCTTGAAAACATAAGAACACTTTCCATGTAATTTGCACTTTGAAAACAGAGGCGTGGAGAGCCATGCTGTCGGCACAAATATGCTGGCTCCACGCTCTGCTCCCCAATCTCTGAGGAGGGACTTAAAGGGCGGTAAGGAACTTGTCACTCTTTAAGTTGTAGGAGTCCATGGGCGGCGGTAGTCATCTCCAATATCAAATGACCCGTCTGCTTGTTTTCCCATTCTACCATAAAAAGAAAAACAAGAAAACCTTATTAAAAATTAGTGTATTCGTTTAGGAACTATGATAGCTAGCTTTTTGGCCAGATCACTCTATTTACAGTTATTGGATTGATTTTAAATTTTCTTTCAGCCCTGCTATGTTTGCAACAGCACCGGCCACAACTGCAGGGCTCTGCCCCGCGAGACGCAACTTGATGATGAAGTACCCACGGAAATCAATAGAAATACCATCAACAGGAATTCTATCACCGATGGCTTGGAGACCAGAGGTAAGATACCGCACGCCCTTCTTCCTTGAGGGTAGGTAGAGAGACAACAGCCCGCCACTATCGCCACTACGTCAATTATAGTTAAACCGCCGTAAGCTTGGCCCTCCTGATGGTTTGGGGGACGCGGGGCGGGGGTGCATTCAACCAATTAGCTAGTGCGTCGCTGTCCGCCGGCAGTGGCTGACGTGAAAGCATGGCTGTACGTGTTATTTTTCTTAAGACTGCTACACACGGTATTATTTTGCAACATGGATAATCTGCCAACTCTGCGTCACAAAAATATTTAAAAACTTGAAGTTCAGCTTTCAGAGGTTCTACTGTTAAAGTTCTAATAAAGAATATTTATTATTTCACTTATTTTTAAATTCTATCTGAATATAATTTACACGATGAAGATAAGGTGATTTTATTAAAATTATTTTACAGTATTAAATTTTACAATTAATCATAAAATCTTACAATACACTGACATTATAAAACATGGAAATAAATTCGATTTTTATTACATCGTGTGTAGATTAAATTTCAAACAAATAAATCTGAAGATATCGAGTTAGTACAACGTGTCATGTATAGCCGAGCGCATCACCCGCCCCGCGTCCTGCAAACCATCAGGAGGGCCAAGCTTACGGCGGTATAACTATAATACATGGCATTTAAACATGCAATATTATATATTTTAATGCATAATGATATTCAAAGTTGACATGATTTCATTAGCAATTAGGTATATAATTAATTAAAATTTCAACAATTTTATTTATATAATGATATAAAAAGATCCTGGAATTCGTCTCTGCCTATCCAGGAACGGCCATTCCCGTTATTGGATAGGCAGAGACGATAAAGTTTGACGGCTTAAGTTTATATATGTTGTGTAGGTAACATCATCCCTCCATAATGTCCGAATAGGCGAGGTGATCATGCAGCACAGCGGTTTATGGAATGTCAAGATTTATCCAAGAAATTTCGGGACAACATCCAAATTCAATTTTCAATACCATTCATCTATTGCCCTCCCTCACAATACTAACACTTGCACTTTCTTGTTTCTCAAAAGTTTTTGCAGAAGATACTGACTATCCAGGAGTAGAAGACACAGATTTTGTACTGTATGTCAGTGCAGTTGAAACAGAGCGATGCAGGCGTGGTCTGACTGTTGCCTACGCATCGCATTGCCAACAGGAATCGGCATTAGACAGGTAAGATTACTTGTTATTTTAAAATAATACCTAGAGAGCAGAGCGTAAACCGCTTCGGCTACAAACTCGGAATTAAGGCAGCCGATGCTTTTAATGTTGTTAGCACCCACTAAGAAAGTATTTTTAGAAATTTCATCCCATCTCTCTCACTCATCCCAAAGGGACCCCCTTTGGGATGAGAGCAGGACCAAGATGCCGGTGGTGAGGGCTCCAAAGACAATAACCTTATCACTATACGGCCCTTTTTTTTTTTTTTTTTTTTTTTTTTTTTTTTTTTTCCGTGCGGAAATCCCCTCGGATACCACCTGTCGGTGGCATGTCGGACTCGAACCGACTAAAACCGCACGCCGTCGCCGGGTACTAATAGCCGGGGAAACCAGGTATACCCTAGAAAGGAAGGCCCTGGTGCTTCACTATACGGCCCTGCCTAGGAGAACTATCTTTGGCATCAAATCCTTGATCCAGCTGTCTAACGTTAGTTTTTTTTACTTATTCTATCTGATCATTCCTTTTTGTTTTCAGGCCAGTTGCTGGTCATGCAAATTTCTGTCCCGGCGAGCTGTCTACGAAGTATAGAGACCTGCCATCAGTTCTGTCAACGGTCAAGCACGAAATGCTGCATGCTTTGGGATTTAGTGTCTCACTCTTCGCGTTCTATAGGTAAGTAGAAAAAAAGGAGGATCCTGCGACCAGGACCTTTGGACCAATTGGTACAAACGAGACTAAGACAGCAGTAGGTCGAAGAAGCTAGTGAGGCGTACTCACATCTTCATTTTATAATTGAACAATTCACTAGGACTTTTTTTTTTTCTTTCACCTATCGGTGGCTTGTCGGACTCGAACCCACTAAAACCGCACGCCGTCTCGGGTACTAATAGCCGGGGAACCAGGTATACCCTAGAAAGGAAGTCCCTGGTGCCCCGACATACCTGGGGCCATCTACAGACGAGTAGACGACCCCCCCCCCCCCCCCCCCCCCCCCCCCCCTCGTGTATGAACCCCATGTTCCCTCTGCTCCCCGGAAGCGAGCGCGCTTCGCAACGCGCTCGCCGCCACCCCGGCCTGCTCCTGCTCAGAGACAGATGGCCTTACCTGTCACCCCCAGGCCTGCGCTTATGGAGGACGGAGGTCGTTCTGCGACTATTCACTAGGCCAGTTGCCATAAGAACATCTGTGGTAATCGTTACGGGTTGTTGGAGTCCTAAAGAGTCCGACAACAGTCCATCTACAGAACCTTGATGTCGTGATGGCAGTCGCTCCAAGTAAGATCGAAGTTCAGCCATACTAGTTCGACTAAAAGCTGACCCCATTAAAGTTTTGGAAAAGGCTTAGATGATGATGAGCCCTGACAAAAAACTTAAAATACAGCTTAAATAGCAAAACCGAAGTCAATAAAATGATATAATTTTTAATTGTAAGCTGCTAAGCAAAGGAGAGCCTTGCTTCACCACAAATGGACAGGCTCCTTGCTCGTTTCTTTTCACCCAGTGAGTGAGGTCACCGAAGCCCAATTTAGGGGGCAGGAAATTAAAGGGTGTCAACACAGTTGTGACTCTTGAGTTGTGTGTGGGGATGGGTGACGGTAGTCACTTACCATCAGGTGACTAGTCCGCTCGTATGCGTTTACATATTTAACCCCCGACGGAAAACGAGGGGTGTTATAAGTTTAACCTGTGTATCTGTCTGTGACATCATAGCTCCCGAACAGATGGACCAATTTCGATGCGGATTTTTTGTTCAAAAGTCGATGTGATCGAGATAGTTCTTAGCTACAAATTTTGAAGATCATCAGTTCACTTCCTAGGTGATGAAGGGATCTCACTAAAATTCACAGGTCCGATTGATATAAAATTTGGTATACTTTTACTTTGATGGTATTTCTACGACATGTTAACCTGGAACTTGCTGCTGCATCAAGTAGCTGGGATAGCCAACTCCTCAGAAAATTACAGCATATATACCATGTTTGGGCTTATTAGAACACTCTCAATGAGCAGTTGTTGTTTTTTAAAGTTTTATGGTGTCGGGGTTTTATTAATTATGCTTTTATAATCAACCTGATGAAATTGACCAGAACTATTTTTCAAAATTTTCGTTACATAGATACATGATAATCTAATATAAACCATATTAAAACGTAATAAAGCTTCTATTTTCTTTCAGATACAATTTAGTTTCTCAATTTATCGTGAGTGTCAAACTTATTATTATTGTCGGATTTCAGGGATGATAATGGCGAACCTCTAACAGAGAGGCGACCGGAAACCGGAAATCCTCCGTTGGATGAAGAGTGAGTTGCTAATTTCCGTTTCCTTACATTTTGCATTTAAACTCGATATCCTGTTCATAAATTGATAGTATTTAATTCTAAAGATAAATTTGGGTTCAAATTTTATAAGGTGTAGAATAGAATAGGTCCGTGTGGTGACGGATTAAGAATACAGAGTGTCACCACCCCTATTCATCCCGTGGGTGTCGTAAGAGCCGACTAAGAAAAAAACTACGCAGAACAATAGCACTGCAGAGAGAAGGAAAACTTGATACAAACCCTATACCGACCCGTCTTGCCAGCGTGGTATGGTAGTCCAAAACCTCCTTTCCAAGGAGAGGCTTATGTCCAGTAGTGGACTATTAAAGGCTGTTGATGATGATGATGAATAGAATAGCCTTTATTGTACACCTTTATCCATCATATGTATGTATTTAGAAATATATAAGTATGTTTAACAGCAGTCTGGTTACCATTGTACAAGCTCTGCTTAGTTTGGGCTCAGACGGCCGTGTGTGAGATGTGGGCGATTATTATTATTGAGAAGGCCTTCTCACAGCAGTGGACGGCGATAGGCTGATGACGATGGTGTAGTATCATTGTTTTTTACAAGATTACAGCAAATTAGCAAACAAAATAGCAATCTCTAAAGGGCAACCTTTGGATGGACAAATTGGCTGTGGATAATTAATGGGTAGTTTCGGTGTAAAAAGTGTAAAATATTCATTAAATATTTATACATACAACAAACAGAATTTCCGTAGGCGAGATGTAGTTGAGATCAATTTCATGTTGTGTGACATCTTTCCTTTATGATTTTGTGTAATAATATATTTACGTGCGGGGCATATAATAAATAAAAGTTGTCGGTTAATTATTTTTATTGCACAATATTTACAAACACTCACTATAACAAACAAGAAATAAACTATATAACTCGTTAGTCGCACTAGAAATTTACTACGATGTTAATTCGCTGAGTCGTAAAACGATACCGTCTATGGCCAACACGCTTCGCTTTTATAGCGCTATCGAATTTACTAGAATGATCCCTTGTATTGGATAGTCCGTTCCAGACAAACAAGAATATTCCAGAATCAGTCACGCGTTACTTGCAGCGCTACCTAGTGGTGTAAGGATCATAACTACTCGTATTAACCACAATCTTAATAGATGTACTTTCGTCGATACTAGATGGCGCTGTCCTCCACATTTCATACAATCGAACCATTTAATCCTATGGTGCAACATTAATAATGAATGAATGACGAAAAATTAATACCAACCAAAATAGACGTACCATAGGAAATATGAAACTTATTTGCCGTTTGCACTTGTTAACCGCTGAACCCATTTTGCTGAATTTTGACTAGTGAGAGGATCTTAAAAAAGGATATTGGTTGCTTTTGGCGCGAAAATGGGTGACAGAAGGGGATGAAAACTAGTAATTTATAACTATTCAGCGATTTGTGATAATATTTCATGTGTATGTTTCAGGTTACAAATCCATAAGTGGTCAAATCGGGTGGTAAAGAATATAACACGCAAGAATTGGATGATCCGCGGGGGTTATATGGAGAGAACCGTCCATATGATGGTCACGCCAAGAGTTGTGAGAGAGGTAGGGGAAATTGAGGGATACTGACTGTTGGATGATGAGTTTGTGGTGAAGAGCATGGACGAGCAGACGAATTACCTGATGGTAACTGACTACCTGATCCGGGTGGTGACGGATTAGGAATACAGACTGTCACCACCCCTATTCATTCCGTGGGTGTCGGAAGAGGCGACTAAGGCAGCAAAAGCGTTCGTTAAGACGAGAGTTGAGTTTGAGTTGAAATACAATAATAATATAACTATATTTAATGTAAGCATATATTGTGTAAATACGTACAACTTAGATATATATTCATGTCGGAACCTTTGAATCGAAAAAAAAAAACAAAAAGAACCTGTTATAATAAAAAAAAAAAAGTTTTCACTTTCGAAATGCCACTGTATTTTTAAACACCGGTTTGATGTAAGGCCGTATGGACATTTCAGTCAATCACTTCAGTCAAGACCGATTCCAATGTGTCGAAGTAAGACTTTCCCAGGGTTAGAGGAAGAGGATTCTGTATTAATTCAATTCCTTATTAATTAAATATAAGCATTACCAGCATACACCTACTATACTAATTTTACTAAAAATGAACTAAATACTGTAAACCTACTTTACAAAGAAAAAAATTTGTGAATGAATAAAAAAAAAAACTAGATAAGTGCGAGTCAGACTCTCTCACCGAGGGTGCCGTACCGTAGGTATAAACTATATATTATAAAATAGTTCACGAATCTCGCAGTTTATTCACGTGATTTTCCCGAAATTCAGTTTCCAATATCTATAATTATTTATGGTCCAGTCATTATAGTAAGTTCACCTCGGAATTCGAGATACCCAGCTGTAAGTCTGTAAATACTTGTATATTGACACCCTAAAAGTTGTCTCAAAACCTACATATGGTAGGGTGTAAGCAACTATTAAATTTCAAGGTCAAAAGTCACAAAAATCGGTTTATTGCGCTTTTTTTGGAAATATCTCATTTCCTATGGGTTTCTGCTATTTGTATTCATTATCAATATTGTAGAATACAAAATTCTCTACAAATTTTGTTTAAAAATTTTTTTATACGGTGAACCGTTTTCGAGATAGAGGGCGGAGAGCGCGCGGTCACAGCATCACTTCAGGTCAACCGGTGCCTCCGGTCGAAAACGCGCCATATATAGTTGATGAACTATCGATAAATCAATGATTATAAATAAAGATTGTTCGGCCCAGAGATTATTAGAGAGTGGAACTCAAACCTTATTGGCAGTCTATAATGCTCCGAAATCTGTGAAAAGTCTCGATCATCTTCGTTATATGCATTACGTCAAGTCTACAAAACTTAATAAACCTGTGCAGCTTTCAAATATTCCACCAACAAGTGCAGCTGCTCACCAACATTTCAACCGTGTATATTATCAAGTTCAAACTTGGTTAGGACATGATTTGGAACCCCAGGTATGGGGTTGGACAATGCGAAATGATTTTCTGGAGCCTATCATGACAATTTTACCACCTGCTCCAGAAGATTTGCTAAATACAATTTTCTGCAACTGCAAGAGTGGTTGTGGTTCGCGATGCGGATGCAGGAAAGCGGGCTTGCAATGCTCTTTAGCTTGTGGCCAATGTAATGGGCAAGCTTGTCTCAATGCTCTACCATATCAGAGCGACATTAACGAAGATGGAACCTTTGACCCCGAAATCATGGAAGAACTTGAGACAAATGTCGTTGAAGACTATAATGAAGACCAGTTTGAAATTTACCAGCAGCCAGAAGACGACGATGAAGAGGAAGAAGATGATTAAAATTATAAATTGTAGTTTTTGTAACCTTTATTCCATTTTTTTACTTTCAATAAAAATAAATGTATTCAATGATATTTTTTAATAAAAAGATTAATTCATAATTTATTTGTTTTTTTTGTCATCATGTAAGAAGTTATTAATATTAATCAGGTTAAAATTCAAATATAATTCCTATATTTTCATTAACCATTCTGCAATTATATGGGCAGGTAAGTGTTGTTAAATAAATTAATAGTGAATAAAAAGTGGATAAGTTTGGAAAAAAATGATAAAATATAATATAATAGTTCATAAAAATTGACAAATATTTATAATCATTGATTTATCGATAGTTCATCAACTATATATGGCGCGTTTTCGACCGGAGGCACCGGTTGACCTGAAGTGATGGTGTGACCGCGCGCTCTCCGCCCTCTATCCCGAAAACGGTTCACCGCATAATTTTTTTTTTTAACAAAACTTGTAGAGAATGTTGTATTCTACAATATGAATACAAATAGCAGAAACCCATAGGAAATGAGATATTTCCAAAAAAAAGCGCAATAAACCGATTTTTGTGACTTTTGACCTTGAAATTTAATAGTTGCTTACACCCTGCCATATGTAGGTTTTGAGACAACTTTTAGGGTGTCAATATACAAGTATTTACAGACTTACAGCTGGGTATCTCGAATTCCGAGATTCTTATCTAATTTAAGCTTAAATGACTGGACTATTATATTATTGTGTTTTAAAACTTATATTTTAAATGGAAAATTGATTACACACTTTAAATAAAGATTTTATTTTATGATTTAATTACAGATTAATAGTTTTCAGATTTTTCCCTGTACTTATAGTTTTAGACGATGTTACTTGCCAAATTTCATAGTTATAGGTCAACGGGAAGTACCTTATGAATTTTGATTCCCTTGAAAGTGTCGAAATATGCGTTTATTTTGCGGCGTAAACTGCTGTATCTTTTTTTACAATAATTTAGAAGTTTGTTTTTTCACAGCTTTAAGGGACTGTAGACCTGATACCTTCACGCATTCCCGATTATAGGGTCTTGACAGACAGACAGACGGACAAAAAAGTGATCCTATGAGAGCAGCGTTTTCGGAACCCTAAAAACAAATGCAAATTAACATGTATAAAAATATGGTTTTCGTTTTGAAATTAACAAATTTTTAAAAATAAATTTACTGAAATTCCAGGTTCGAAATCACTTCAATTGTCCAGAGTTAGAAGGGGCAGAATTGGAAGACCAGGGAGGAGATGGAACTGCTCTAACGCATTGGGAGAAGAGAGTTTTTGAAGTAAGTATTTCTAAATTCTTTCCTAATGTAACACACAGTGTTGCCAATTACTAAACAAAAATGCCAGATAACAAAATATTATTCTTTTTGTTATTTTTTTATTCGGTGGGTAACACCTGACATTTCACTATTATCACTTACTTTTCAGTACCTCTCCACTCCCAAAAATAAGGTGGGGAGGGATCGGTCCGGTACTCCTACACCACCTCATAACACCGATTTTCTGTGAGATATCATTACCTTCAGCTAGCCAGCCAGAATTCATCACCACTGCTGGACATAGGCCTTTCTTTAGGAAAGTGGTTTTAGCTTACTATATATACCACACCACGCCACGTTCGTAAACGAAGGTAGTGCACGCGCCGTTGCGGGCAGTTCCCGGATCCCTCCTATTACATTTGTGTTAAGTTTTCCTTCTCTTTGCAGTGCTGTTGTCCTACGTAGTCTGCTCCCTTAGTCCGCTTTACGACACACACTGGATGAATACTCCACTGGTGTACTCCACGGGTGGTGGTACTTCATAATCCTTGACCACACGGACAAGGCCAGAATTAAGTACTATTAATTATTTAATGCTTTTTTTCAGAATGAAGCAATGACAGGCACCCATACCCAGAACTCGGTGTTCAGCAGGATAACCTTCGCTCTGATGGAGGACACGGGCTGGTACCGAGCTGATTACGAGCACGCGACACCGCTGCTGTGGGGGAGAGGGCTCGGCTGCAAGTTCGCCATGATGTCCTGCAAGCAGTGGCTTAATGCTCAAAGGTTGAGGTAAAACCCTTTATGGGTTATTTTCTATCGAGATTTATGGGTAACGCAGGGTAATGTGGGTGTGGTAACGCAGTTTAAATTCGAATAACTTAGAAGATAATAAATCCTAATCCTGTGTGTGTTTACAAGTTTTTTAACTAAGTTTTTTTGTTGTTTACGAGTTTATCTGCTTAATAATGCATGTTAGATGTTGTTTTTTGAGTTTTACTTGTAATATGTTGGAAAAAACTTGAATAATGCTGTATATGTGACATTGAGTTTGTTTACTTAATTTTACTTTTAGTTTGTTTACTTTAATTATAGTGTTTACCACTAAACTGTAATTATATTGTCGGTGTGCTGACGGATTAAGAATACGGAGTGTCACCACCCCTATTCATCCCGTGGGTGTCGTAAGAGACCACCAAGGGAAAAAAACTACGCAGAAGAACAGCACTGCAGAGAGAAGGAAAACTTGACATAAACCCTATATCAACCCGTCTGGCCAGCGTGGCATAGTAGGCCAAAACCTTTCTAAGGAGAGGCTTATGTCCAGCAGTGGACTGTTAATAAAGGCTTTTGATGTGATGTGATGTTATTTTTTTGTACCTGTTATTTATCACATACTTTTATAGATGAGACCATAACTACTGCGTTACGCATTATTTGAAAAGACGCGTAACTCAATGGACTTACTTGTGTATTTTTTTTTTACAAGCAATTTCACGGACAATTCTACAATGGAGTAAGTTTAAATATATTATTACAGATGATATTTTCATTTGTCAAAACTTAGTTATTAGACATTATTTTAAATAGCCACACCGGTGGTGCATCGCTATTGGTACGCTTAAAACAGCCGGGCGATACTGGTTTGGTAAAAAGGCTAACATTGTAAACCGAATGGCGTAGTGGTTTGTGTAACGGACTGCTATTTCAAAGGTCGCGGGTTCAATTCCCGCTCAAGTCAAACATTTGTGTGCATTTAATGTTTGATTTGGTCTGGGTGTTTCTATGTATAATAAGTATGTATTTACAAAAAAAAAACAGTATATATGTATTTATATCAGTTGTCTAGCCATAGTACAAGCTTTGCTTAGTTTGGGACTAGATGGCGTTTTGTGAATGTGGCACAATATTATAATAATAATAATAACTTCACACATCTCACACACGGCTGTCTGGTCCCAAACTAGGCAGAGCCTGTACTATGGTAACCAGACCGTTGATAAACATACTTATATATTTTTTAAATACATACATATTATAGATAAATTACACCCAGACGCAGAACAAATGACCGTGCTCATCACACAATATTTGTCCTGGGTGGGAATCGAACCCACGACCTGCGGCTTAGCAGTCAGGGTCACTAACCACTAGAACAACAGGCCCGTCAAATTATAAATTATTATATTATTGGAACGAAGTTCCTTATCGCGCGTTGTTAAAGGGGGCTAGACGGAAAATAATCTCACGAAAAGTTGTAACGACACTTTTTTAACCGACTTCAAAAAAAGGAGGAGGTTCTCAATTTGACTGTATTTTTTTTGCTAACTTAAATTGCTGACTTTAATAATATATTTTATTATATTATTAATAATATATATTATTATAATTATTAAATAATTGACACGGCTCGTATAGTGAGGAGGTTCCTATCTTTGGAGTCCTAACCACCGGTGTCTTGGTCCCTGTACCCGATGTCGGTGGTCTACTATTTTTTATATTTTTAAATGTATTTTTTTGTAAAGTGTATATTTAAAAATGTAAATAATATGTATATAAAGTAAATAAAGAGAATTATAATAATGGTAAATTGTGTGTTGTTATAATGTATTGTGTGGTTAACAAGGGACGAATATAACGTTAACGGTGTAACGTTACTAATTTAATTTAAAGAAGCAATGGTGTTGTTGTTGCTAACAAACAGACATACATTTCACTGGCTCGGTTGTGCAGTGGTAGCGTATGCGACTGGTGTGCTGAGGTCTCGGGTTCGATGCCCCTAGTCAGACCAAAAGATCTGCAAATATTTGTTTCGGATTTTGAGTGTTTTCCATGAATAATATGTATGTATTTACAAAAAAAAGTATATGAGTATTATATCAGTCAATCTAGTTTTCACAGTACAAGCTCTGCTTAGTTTGAAACTAGATGGCGTTGTGTGTCAGATGTCCGAAAATATTATTATTATTGTAATCGTTTTTTTTTTATTGCAAGCATTACTAATCGGACGACAGCCATAGAGTAAGTAGACTAGACTAGTATTCTTGACCATAGAGTTGTAGGTGTCAATAATCTTGACCAATATCGGTTATGGTACACGATGGCTGGGGACCCCATGCCGTGTGTATGGACAGCCCGACTCAAAACTATGGTCCTTTCTTCAAAAGGCCAACCCAGACCCTATACTGCACTCACATAGTTCATTTTAACGGACTAAAAAAAAAAAGGCACCTCTGTGGTTTGTTTCAAAGCAAAAAAATTTAAAACAATGTGCCATTAAGTTAAAAATCGAGTGTGGATGAGCCGACTAATAGAACAAACTACGCAATAATTACATAGTGAGGGTTTTGTGTCATGCTCAGAAAAACCACGATTTGAATTTATTAACGAGATCTTTATAATGTTTCAGACGGAAGAACCCATCGCCATTTTGTGAAAGAATCAAAGGAAACCCACTTCGGACCGAATGCTCATCCCGAAGAGACGCCGTTGTTCTGTGCAATCTTGTAAAACATGAAAATATACTGCCCAGAGCTTATCAGGTAATTTTATTGAATGGTTCCTTTCCTTGGTTACCGTTCCTTACCTGACTCATTTCTTAGAACCTGATTGGTCAGGGACTTGGGCTTGATTGATGCGTCCTTATTTTCTTAAGGCGAATGAACTATTGTATAGTATATATTCTAATATCATATTTTTCTTGGCAGCATTTCGACCTATTACCCAACGTGCTCCCTGGTGAGGAAGCTTATTACGGCGGCTCAGTTTCTTTGGCAGACTATTGTCCTTACCTTCAGGAGTTCACCTGGAGGCATAAGAGCGTATTGGTAAGGGGTAGCAGGTGTTCTTACGAGGAAAACACGCCTAGTGAGTATCTGAAACATTTACTATTTGAAAACAGCGCCATCTGTTGGTTGGCTCCTGAGTTACAAATTGGCACCTGTATTAGAATATATAATGCTGAAAAATAAAAACACTTGCCGGTGTATGTGTTACGTGGCGTATTGTCTTTAGCGCCCTCTGTTTTTTAGTATTTAAAACAAGTGAGTTTGTAAGGGTGACTTCCTAAATTAAAAAAAAGCGGTGGCCATGACTTTAAATTTGGAAAAATTGATTGACAAAGTCGGCGTCAACGCCAGCGAAGTCGCGGGCAAAATCTAGTGGTATCAAATTTGTTTATTATTAATTCTTTGTTGTTTGTCATAATATATATTTATAATGTGGGTAGGCAAGAATGATGATTGGATGCGACCGATATGGAGAACGGAATAAAGCAGTCTCTGTCTATACCTCTTGTTTGATTCATGTAACCGCTGACTGTGACAATATTATTCTTTCCAGAATCTGATGTCAACTTCGCCTTAGAAAATTATGGCACACATTCAAAATGCTTCGACCACAGCGACAAAGTATGGGAGCAAAAATCTTGTAGACAGGTACTTTTTTGACGTTAATAAGTTAGTATTGAGGTAAAATAATCTGGTAGGGCCCATATCACATCCAACTCCTACCTTCTTTACTTTTCACCGAGTGAGTGAGATTACCGGAGCTAACTCCTTCTCCTGATTCAATGATGAGGGGAGCTCAAAGGGTATGTACTTGTGACTGTTAAGACGCAGGTGTCACAATTACCATCAGGGCCTCAATTCTGCTATTTTAGACTAACGTACAAGCCACTGTCTTTCCATTGACACGCCATTGACTTGTCATTAAGATGCCAGTGACGTCGGTCAAAATACGGTATTCCACTAACATAAATTTAAACTGTCAATAGACTGTCGATGTAGTGACAATGGCTCATCAATGGTGATACCAACAACATTGCTATATCTGGCAAATTAAATATATCATTTCCTTACAAATTTGTAAGATACCGTTTACCAAACTATTACAAATACATCGACGACATTTGTATCAACAGCAGTTCACCGACAAGTCATCGGAAGGCCATTGGGTCTTACATAGTTAGTAGAATACGAAAAGTGCAAAACTATTCCGACGACATTCCATCCACAGTTTATTAAAAGAATATTAAAATAACACAATTAAGGCCCAGGTGAACCGCGTGCTCATTTATATCCCAAAATAAAATAAAACAGATTGGTATTTACGAATATTTGGCCTTTTTTTCAGATACGAGAATGGCAGCACTGGGGTTCGGGTTGCTATGAGTATAAATGTGAATATGGACGACTCCATATTGTGGTATGTTAATATAAATTATATTGAAAATGATCGATTATTTCTTTAAGTAGATACTGTTTTTAGTGTATTTTTATTACCTGACTGCACCAAAAAGAGTTTTTCAAGTGTATGTATGTATGTATATTTCTTGGGCACACTCTGTATGTCTGTGTGTCTAAACGGTTGGATGGATATTGGCGTTTGAGGTGTCGTTAAATTCGTCTTAATTGTGAGAGTGACACTGGGTAAATCCATAATCTATACAAATAAATAAAATTGGAGTGTCTGTTTGTAATATTAAAATAACCGCTTTTTACTAAATGCATATGTGTGTTTACACGGTACATATGCCAAAATAACATTTTTTACAATTTTTGTCTGTCTGTCTGTCTGTTTGTTTGTTCCGGGTAATCTCTGGAACGGCTGGACCGATTACGACGGGACTTTCACTGGCAGATAACTGAGGACATAAGGAGTAACTTAGGCTACTTTTTTTAGGCTAGCTTCGCCCCGCGGCGTTGCCCGCGGTTATAACAACAAACGCGGGTAACACCGCGGGTCTCAGCTAGTAATATTATAAAAGCGAAAGTGTATCTGTCTGTTACCTCTTCACACATAAAACGCTGAACCGATTTAGACGACATTTGGCGTAGAGATAGTTTGAGTCCCGGGAAAGGATATACGATAGTTTTTATCCCAAAAATCAGCCTTTATTGGGATAAAAAGGGAATGAACATTTGTTTGGTTAATCAAAATCCGCTAAACCGATTTAGATGAAAATTTTGTATGGAGATAATTTGATTCTTGAGGAAGGACATATTCTACTTTTTACCGCTTTTTACGTAAATTATAAACGTTAAAATCGTATTTGTAAATTTTAAGAAAATATTTTCACGCCATTGGGATTTTTTGTTTAAATATGAATCATGTGTGATAGTGATGATGACAATGGTGATGATAAAACTTATTTAATTTCAGGTGGGGAACTATTCATATACATGTTTCCATGCCGGACAGATCCTCCAAGTGAGGATCATCAAAAAGGGGTGGCTCCATAAGGGTGGTGTAGTCTGCCCCCCTTGCAGAGAGATGTGTGGGGAGGAATTTAAAGTGAGTATATAAATAGTATCATAACATTACCCCTATGTATGATATAAAGACGGCTACAGAAAAGTATAATCATCCAGGATAACTTGACCTGTCAAGGTGAAGAAGTCCATATACAATGACAGTTCAAGATATACTGGTCAATTAAATATTAACAGGCGTTCTATAATAACAGGTATCTCTCATACAAAAAAAGGGGAGGTTGTATTTTTATGTAAGCTAACTCAGAATTTGGAAAATATTTGCGTTTTTATTTGAGAAAGTATACTTCCCGTTTGGACCTACTCCAAATTTAAAAGGAAAAATACCTCCCTTAAGAGTGAAAAATTAAGGAATGACGAAAATAGTTAATTATAATTGGGTAGATGACTGTTATGTCAAATCAGTATCTTTTCATGAAACGAGGATCTCTGAACGAGGAGGTCTGATGGCCGATGGAGACTTAAAGCCGACCCAAACCTAGTTTGGGAGGCTCGGAGTAAGATTTGAATAGCGATGCGTTGCTTCACCGCATTACATGTTACATTACTATCACATAGCGTGGCGACGCATACCGTAGTGACGCGTCGCCACGCCTTCTAGTTTTATGTTCCGTATTAGATATTTCAGATAAATAAAAACATTAAATTGATAATGCAGGACAATTTAGGCTGTACTTTAACCGGTGTTAATTCTTTCGTTGCCTGTCACTGAGTGAGTGAGGTGACCAGATCCCAAATCCCCCCTCCCGCTGACTCGAGCGGAAGGGCCCCCAAGGACAGCAATGCACTTGTGACTTTTGAGTTGCAGGTGTCCATGGGCGGCGGTAGTTGCTCGTTTGCCCCCTAATACCATAAAAAAAGAGCGAAATAATTTACACTATTTGTTTTAATAGCTTTTGTTTTTTGTTTCAGTCTAGAGGCGAGTATTGCAAAGGAGGGGAAGAACCTTTGCCGCCAAATTTATACCCAAATGACGTTTTAACTTGCCGCGCGACAATATTTTCGCCGGCAAAACTATTAGCGACAATGATTACTATATTTACGACACTCAAGTGTTTACTAATATAAATAACGTCATGTGAGAGTGAAAGAGACTGCTCATAACAGAGAAGGATGCATATATTTGGACATTAAATATTCTAGGAAATAATTTTAATGATGTATATGTGAAATTAGGTAATTTATATTTTTGTGTAAGATATGTATAGATTTTATGCAAAATAAGATGAATCGGTAATGGTATAAAAATCTATATTTTCAAGTGCTGGAAAAAATGGTGTCGATTTTGTTAAATTTGTTAGTAGGATTTGATAGGGGTTGTTGTTATCTGTATATATATAAGAGATTTCCACGAATATAGTCACTCATCACGATATCGCTGGAACCGTTAGAGCTAAAGACTTGAAATTTGGTAGGAATATTCTTTTCACCGAGTAGAGGTCAGCTAAGAACGGATTTTAAGAAATTCAAAAAAAATAATAATTTAATAATGTAAATATCAAAACAACGTTTGCAGGGTCAGCTAGTATGTGTATATATTCATCATCATCAACAGCCTATACTAGTCCACTGCTGGATATAGGCCTCTCCTCAGAAAGGAGGTTTTGGCCTACTACACCACGCTGGCCAGACGGGTTGGTATAGGGTTTGTGTCAAGTTTTCCTTCTCTTTGCAGTGCTGTTGTCCTGCTTAGTTTGCTCCCTTAGTCGGCTCTTACGACCCCCACGGGATGAATTGGGGTGGTGACAATTTGTATTCTTAATCCGTCACCACACGGTGGTGTGTATATATTCAAAGATGGTATATTGATGACGTAGGAAATGTATGTTTACTGACGCATTATCGGCCGCCTGATCCCAAACTAGACAGAACCAGTATTGTGGTAACCAGACTGCTGTTAAACATACTTATATATACTAAACAGTGGTGGCCATTTCGAGACCCTTGTCTTTGTGGAATTAGTTTAAATGATGATACATTGAACAAAAACGTAACGCAACACATGCTACTGCTCGAACATAAAAGCATAAGCCGACGATAGTTGACACTGACAGCCTGTCAAAATGACAGTAGAAATGAAACACGGGAATTCCCCGAACATAAATATGAAACACCACGCAAGACAGTGCAAGTAACGTGACGTGAGTTTTATAATGCGCGTTGTAAGGCTCGAACTTTAAATAAACATATTTTTCTACTTTAGTTGTTGAGCGAGGCCCCGGGCGGTTGCCCTACACGCCACCCTCAAAGGCCAACTCTGTTTCTGAATACATAAATATAGCTTAATTACACCCAGACACAGAACAAATGATCGTGCTAATCACACAATGATTTATCCTAAGCGGGAATCGAAGCCACGTCTTCTGGCTTATCAGTCAGAACCACTAACCTGAAATCATACTTGTATATTTGTAATTTGTATCCGTATTTTAAGTATTATTATCATAATCATGTTAAATTTAAGCGTTTATGTTCGTAAAACACCGCTAGCGTGATTCAGACGCTGCACACATTGTCATCCGCCTTTTGGCAAGCACTATCATAAAATTCCGTTGTCTATGTTTCATCATCTCATAAAGTCAATATATGTCAAATTAGTGTTGACAGCTCAAAATATTCGCAATAATTTTTCCGATGACAATAAACGTCAACTGACGCATGAACTGTTTACTAATTCATTCATTCGTTCATCTAAATGTCATTTTGTAAATATTTGTAAAGATGGTTGCTTCTTTTACACAGGCTGTTACGAAAGATGAGGTCAATTTTTTTTTTACCACATTCGCACAACGCCATCTAGTCCCAAACTAAGCTAAGCTTGTACTATGGGTACTAGAAAACTGATATAAATACACATACTATACAATAACAAATTATACAATAACATTAAAAGTTCATGCACACAAATGTTTGACTAGAGCGGGAATAGAACCCGCTATCTATGGAATAGCAGTCTGTTACACAAACCACTACATCATCCGGTCAAATTTAATATAGTTTTATGTGTAGACGACAAAAAATTGTATTTTTCCAATTTACTCCTTAAGAATAGATTTTCATATAAGGCGCCCGGTATGAAAAAAATATGAAGAGTAAAATTTTGTCATCGAATGACCTCGTTAGGTTTTTGGTGCGCAACCTATTGTGCGCGCCTTTCACACGTGTGTGTATAACTTGTATACTTGTCTGCAGCCGCTTCGTTCTTAACGAGTACACTCGAGTCGTGCGCCGGAGCTGACACACACACTTTTTTCTTTAAATACAAACCATATCGTCGGTCTAAATGTGACACCATATAATAACTATTTCGGGTACAGTTAGATTTGTATACACAATATTAGGTTAAAAATTGATTTTTCTTTTAAATACTGTTTTTCCTTTTGCTTAAGACTCATATAGTATAACACAGAATAATCTTTACTGTCCACTAACAGTTTTTTGTTTTTTACAAGCGTACACCAAATTAATTAACATATATGAATAGGGGCATTATCGTTAAAAATCAATTAACACCCTTAGTGTTGAATACCTATAGTTTCATGTCAGTCCTCCCTTATGTAATATAAGCTCTACCTATAAATCAATTATTTAACCCTATTTGTCATTTTCAAAATAAGATTTCAGTAAAATCACGAATTTTCTCAAAACTGTTATCTTAATTTAGAGGGTCTAAACGACCCCGAAAATGACCCCAATTTTTTGTAACAGCCTGTATAGCATAAGTTCAGTCTCACATAAAGTAGTGTCTTTCTGAAGTTTATCTTTTTTTGAAGCTACCACCAGTTAAAGTTATTATAAGTCAGTACTAAGTCGAGATTTGAGAGTTGTCGTGGATCATGAGTCCAGAAATGGTGTGGAAACAACTTTAGAAAATCATCTTATTTAGATTTCAAATAACAAGTTAGGAAATAAAATTCTGAAGTCTCAGATTTAAAACATCGACGTCTGGAGATCGTAAATGTGAAGTCCAAGTCTGAGTCTTAGATTTTGTTTTTTTTTTGTAACTAAGTTTTGCTCCCAGTTTCAGGTTTTCAAATATTTTTTAATACGTATTATTTTTCTGACGTGCAATATTGACATGTATTGGTTAAGGTTCTTTGCACACCGTGAGTGACTGATTTTAAATGACGTATGTGTAACACGACCGGACCAAATGTAAATATTCTTATAATAAGTACCTTTTTATCTAATTGCCATAATCTTCTTAATGTATTACTAATTCTTAAGTTTTGTTTGTATTTTGAACTGTTTTATTGTAATTTTTAATGTAAAGTTAGGAGTGTTTCTCGTGGGAGGGTCCCATTTATAGTAGAGCCACATATAAACGAAACTGATAGTTGTTTTGCGGGATTCAATATACCTTAAGGTGGATAACCGGATATCCGGCAATTATTATAAAAATTTGGCGGGAGGTCATAACCCCTGTCACCTCGGACCCTCTTAATACCACCTAAAAAGAGAATTAAAACCAAGTTAATTAGAAAACTTATATTATATTAGTGTTGTCTGTCGATAGTATTGAAAAGGGGAGTAGGAACAGGACGCTGTACACCTTAAAAAGATCCCCTGTCGGTTCCAAAGCTAGTCCATCATCATACGATACAGACTGTTTAAAATGCATTGCATATTTTAATATAACTCATCTGACTACTATCGATAATGTGACAATACAAAGTTTGACATCTGTCAAACGTAACATACTTTATTCATAGAGATAATACAGATAGAGGTGAGAAGCGAGCTACAATCCGGGGACGTTAGTAGAAAGAGAAAGAAACGGGGATTTAGATGCGCCTGTCTCGCATCTCTTCGCTGATTTGTTGGCCTGAAGTGGACGAGGGGAGAGAGGACAGAGACGACATCAAATCTCTTTCTCCCGACGTCGCTATTCCACTGATTGGCAATCCAATACCTTCTCTCCTCTATCTGTATTATCTCTATGCTTATATTACATTCGACAGATGTCAAACATCGAATGTCATTTCTGACAAGTCGTAGTTGATGACTAAAAATGACAGATTGTTTTTTTTTTTTCTTAAATTAATTGGCTGTACTTGCTATTGTAAATATAGTACTTAAGTTCGGTGCTTTAATATAATCTGTCTATTTTGTTAGCAATTATTTTATTATTTTTATTTATACAGTGTTGCAAGAATTTAAATAAACGTGGATGAGTTTTATATATACGACATTTGTTTTATTTTCTTTCAGGTTTCCTATACCAAATAATTAGTGATGTTTTTCATAAAAATAATACATCTCATAGCAGTGTGACTCTAAATAAGGTAGATCCTCTACTAATGTAACCAGACTGCTGATAAATTAATATATCTGTTACTAAATACAAATATCCATACTAATATTATAAATGCGAAAGTGTGTCTGTCTGTCTGTGTGTTTAGATGAAATTCCGTACAGAAATCGTCCGTGTCCCGGAAAAGGACATAGGGTAGTTTTCTTTAATAGTCCCCTGATGGACATAGGCCTCTCCTTAAAAAGTAGGCTTTGGCCTACCATAAAACGCTGGGCAGACGGGTTGGTATAGGGTATGTGTCATGTTTTCCTTCTCTTTGCAGTGCTATTGTCCTGCCTAGTTTGCACCCTTAGTCGGCTCTTATGACACCCACGGGAAGAATAGGGGTAGTGACACTCCATATTCTTAATCCGTCACCACACGGTAGCTATTTACACTAAGTACAAATTTATTAACTATCGAAAAGCTTACTGAATCGAATCGATTTAAGAGTATCAATGTTTTTCTAATAGGAATAATAAGACGCAGTCATTTATTATTAATTGCATTAACGGGTACACTTTATTATACATACAGGGAGAAAAAAAAAACAGACGAGTCTGATAATGGTAAGCGAGTACCGACGCCGGCGGACATTTTCAACTCGAGAGCTGCAAGTGAATTAAGAATACTTAGATAGTCTCCTAATAAACGTCGATAGCCCAAACATCTTCGATCGGCTCGATCCCTTGGCGTTACCTAGAGATTTGGCTTCACTCTGCATTCTCTATCGCATATATCATGGAGAGTGCTCCGAGGAATTGTTCGGACTAAT